AAATGATCAAGAGGGAGGCCTCCCAGAAACCCCCCTGAGATATTATAAAAATAATAATAACCTGATTTGGCGAGGCGGGTCGCAATGAAACAATTCTCCCTTGAGTGCCATCAGGACGTGTCTCCATTTAAATGCTAATTTTCACCTCTAACCCAGGACCTCCCTAAACAAAACAAAGCTTCCCGAAGGTGATTTTCTCGACTTAATCGTGATCAGCCTTCCATCTCTAGGGAGGGGAGGAAAAAAAAATAGATTTGATAATTTGCAGAGTTCCTTAATCTTCAAACCTTATAGGATTCATCTCTGTAAGTAATTCACCACCTATGGCCTCGGTTTTTCTCCTCTCCTATTTATCGCTTCGGTTTTCTGCCTAGCCTTCCGTCTGTCTCTTCCTTGCAGTTATCTGCGCAAATCTGGACTTTGGATTCCTTTTTTTTTTTTTTATAAATAGAAGAAACATCCGTTTTTCAAATAAATATAATTTGAAAAGAAAACCATCTTTTCATGAGGATGGCAGGGCTATCTGACAGCCAGCCAGAAAACGATCCTACCGTTTTTAAAAGAAAAAAAAAAAAAGATTTGGAAGTGATTAGCGATGTTATTTTTGGCGCGCATTCCGCCTATGATTATTCCATTAAAATCTGCCGCTAAAATCATACGTTTTCTCTACCCTGAACTTTCAAGATCGTCTCATCTCCCCCCCCAAAAAAATACCAATAAGCACTGCATGTATTTGTTCATTTGTTTTCCACTTTAAAAAATAGGATTTTCTGGATTTCTGGGTAAGGTGTTCCAAATCACGGTTACTTTCAGAGTTAATCGTTTATTTAACAAGCTTATATAGCCACCCATCTAACAGAAGGAATTCTGGGTGGTGAACAAGAATCAACACCACAAGGCACCATGACAAGCTGATGTTCAAAGAATCCTTCAGAATAAAGCTGGAAGGGACCTTGGAGGTCTTCTAGTCCAACCCCCTGCTCAAACTGAAGACCCTTTACCATTTCAGACAAGTCACTGTCCAGTCTCTTCTTAAAAACCTCCATTGATGGAGCACCAAGGTGGCTCCCTAGGTGGCTCAGTGGCTGAGACGCTGAGTTTGTTGATCAGAAAGGTCGGCGGTTCAAATCCCCAGTATACTGTAGGTCTCCTGCGTGAGCAGGGGGTTGGACTAGATGACCTCCAAGGTCCCTTCCCAACTCTACCGTTACCGTTACCTATAACTTCTGGTGGCAAGTTGTTCCACTGGTTAATTGTCCTCACTGTTAGGAAGTTTCTCCTTAATTCCAGGTTGCTTCTCTCCTTGATTGGTTTCCATCCGTTGTTTCTTGTCCTGCCTTCTGTTGCTTGGGAAAATAAGTTGACCCCACCTCTTCTTTGTGGCAGCCCCTCAAATACTGTTGTGGCCCATCAGCGGCCTGTGCGGATTGTAGCTGATTCCGACAGCGAGGAGGCTGGTGTGGTGCTGCGCCAGCATCCTGTGCAGCTGGCACTCGAGTCAGACAGTGAGGAGGCTGGAGAAGACGTGGTGCCAGAGGCGGGGATTCAGCCAGGGCCTTCAGAACCTCCAGAAGCTCCTTTAAGTGAAGAGGAAGAAGAGGAGGAGCCTCTTCTCGATGCACGGGCGCGCAGAGCTGCCAAAAGGCAGAAGTGGCTCCTCAGGAGGAGGTCTCCTCAAGAGTAAGGCTTGGGGCTAATTGGCCACTCTCTTAGCCTATTTAAGGAGGAACGCCAATTGCAGCAAGTTGTAGGGAACAGCTTTAGTTCATTCTCCTTCGTGTCTGGATTCTCTGCAAATTGCTTCTGGGCTTTCTGCCAACCTTCGTAAGATTGTGATTACTTTATCTTTGGTTTCTTGTAGGCTGTTAAGGAAGTTTATTAACAGCCTTTGTTTTGAAAAAAGACTGAGTTATTTTAGTAAATTTCAGTTTGGTACAGACTTTGTGTGTGCTGCGTTCTTTGGGGTCCGTACCTGGGGCAGAACAAATACTGGGGAGACTGCTATCATGTCACCCTTAGTCCTTCCCTTGCCTAGACTAGCCAGACCCAATTCCCACAACCGTTCCTCATATGTTTTAGTCTCATATGATCATCTTAGATGCTTTTCTCTGAACTTTTTCCAAAGACTCAACATCTTTTTTCTAATATGGTGACCAAAACTGGATGCAGAATTCCAGGTGTGGCCTTACTACGGTTTTATAAGGCTTTATGTTGGAGTCCCAAGAATTTTATGGATTGGTAATTGTGGGGCAGAACTATGGTGCCCCCTAGTGAACAGTAGCGGTAACCACTGTGATACAACCAGGACTGAATCATGTGCTGGTAGTCCTCGACTTACGACCACAATTGAGCCCCAAATTTATGTTGCTTAAGTGAGAAATTTCTTCAGTGAGTTGGGCCGCATTTCTACGAATTTTCTCACCACACTTGTTAAGTGAATCATTGCAGTTGTTAAATGAGTAACACCGTTGTTAAGTGAATCTGGCTTCTCCGTTGACTTTGCTGGTCAGGTCCCAAAATATGAACCAGTTGTCAAGCATCCGAATGCAAATCACATGCTGCAACGGTCATAAGTGTGAAAAACAGTCAGAAGTCACTTTTTTCCAACTTCAAAGTCGGAAGTCGACTTTGTAAGTCGAGGACTTACCTGTATCGTCCTTGCCAGTTTCACTGAAGCGCGGACAGGAGGAAACGGAGCCCAGCTTGGTAAGAATTCTCCTTGGCATTGAATCAAGCTGCATTTCCTGCCAAATTATATCCGGCCATATCTCTTCTCCCGAACAACTAGACGGAATATTTTTCGACCGCTGTAGGCAAAAACCTGTGAAAGACAGTGGGGCTACAGGGAGGATTTGACTAACTCGTCCATATTTCATTATTTGATAACATCGGGAGTACCGGCCACATCGAATTGCTTTGGCAAAAGAACACAGGAAGCCCTCCTGATCAATATTTATTCATCCATTTCCCCAACAAGGGAGGCAAACACACCGAGCCCAACACTTAATCAAACAAATCATTTCCCAAACATCGGCCGACTGGCCAAAGGCGTAGAACAGGCCAAGCAAGAGGGAGTTTTTTAATTGCAGGCAGCTCAAAAGGGACGCCGCTTCCTTCCTTGGATAGTGGCGGTTTATTTTAATTAAAAATCATCTGATCTTCCCAGGACTGATGGATACTGTAAGTCCTGAAAGGGAGGGAGCTTGACCTCTGGGCAAGGAAGAAGGCCAGGCAGCTTGACCCAAAGCAGGGAGAGCCAATCCTTTCTGACCTCAGACTCTTTCAACCAAGGACAATCTGTAGACTTCAGAAAACCCTCTTCTCCTCCATGGTCAGCCTTGGCTGCAGAAATGTTTTGGACAGAAGGCTGCTACCCATCCCCTCTCATCCCAACTCAAATCATCCCATCTCAATTCATTCCATCCCATCCCAATGCATCCAACCCGACCCAACCTATCCCCTCCTGATTCATTTCATCCCATCCCAATGCATTTAATTCCAACCCGATGTCAGCACTTCAACCTGCATTTACTCTAGTGCTGACATAAGAAGGAGAAGAGGGGGCAGCTGGCAAAAGGACTCTTGACTTCTCATCTACTTATTTTCCCTGAAGATAATATCCCCTAGGAGATGAGATGGGAGGGGGGACATTCTTGGGAGCTTAAGTAGTAGATATGGGGAGAATGATTTGGAAGAGGGCCAATGAGACGCAGAGAATTGGGGAACGGAAAGGGAAGATTTGGGGTCAGGAAGTCAGAGTTGGCTACGCCACAATCGGGGACAGGTTGTCATGCTTAATAAAATGAAAGATTTCTTCAAAGATTATCTGTTTGGAAATGCAATTTATTTTATTTGAGACAACATTGAAACCTGACACCCAACCTATCTCATCTCAATGTATCTCATCCCAACCAACCAATCCCAACATATCCTATCCCATCCCAACCCATCCCAACCCATCCCAACTTAACCCATCCTAACTGAACTAACGCATCCCATTCCAATGTATCTAATTCCAACCCCAACCTATCTCATCTCAATGCATGTCATCCCAACCAACCCATCCCAACATATCCTATCCCATCCCAACCCATCCCATCCCATCCCATCCCAATGCATCTTAACCCATCCCATCCCAACTTAACCCATCCCACTCCATCCTAACTGAACTCAACGCATCCCATCAAAATGTACCTAATTCCAACCCAACCTATCTCATCTCAATGCATCTCATCCCGACCAACCTATCCCAATATATCCTATCCCATCCCAACCTAACTCATCCCATCCCAATGCATCACAACCCAACCCAACTTAACCCATCCCATCCCATCCCAACCCAACCCATCCTAACTGAACTCAAACACATCCTATCCCAATGCATCTAATTCCAACCCAACCCATCCCAATATATCCTATCCCATCCCAATCCATCCCATCCCATCCCAATGCATCACAACCCAACCCATCCCAACTTAACCCATCCCAAACACAACTCATCCTAACTGAACTCAATGCATCCTATCCCAATGCATATAATTCCAACCCAACCCAACCCATCCCAACATATCCTATCCCATCCCAATGCATCACAACCCAACCCAACCCATCCCAACCCATTCTAACCTAACCCAACCCATTCCATCCCATCCCATTCAAATTCATCCTATCCCAATCCACCCTAAACCATCCCAATTCAAACCCATCTCATCCCTTCCGAATGCCTCCCAACCCAACCCATCCTCTTTTTTGTAGAAGACTTCGCTGTCTTTTTTTTGTCCACCTATCTATATTTTCCTCCACTTCAAGAACCAAAGCACCCACTTAACCTTTCTAGGCTGAAGACCTCCTGCTCAAGGGGAGGGACATCGAAAGAGTTACCTCCTTCCGTAATAGTGCCTTACAGAAAACCATAAAGGGGGAGAAAAGTAAAAACATAAAAAGACCATAGCAAAGTTTAGTAATGTGAGAACGACGTAAATCCTGTCTTTGCCTTGCAGGCAGTATTACGAGATGCTGTACAACACGGCGGACGAGCTGCTGAACCTGGTGGTGGACCAAGGCGTGAAGTACACGGAGCTGGAGTACATCCACGCCCTGAGCTTACTCCACCGCAGCCAGACCGGCGTGGGAGACCAGACCACGCAAAACATGAGGTTGCAACGCCTGAAAGAGATCATCTGTGAGCAGGCCGCCATCAAGCAAGCCACCAAGGACAAGAAAATCACCACCGTGTAGCTTAGTCTACTAGCAGGAGCCCTATCCCTTCACAGCCCATAGAAGCAACGAAGGGAAATGTCTCTATATGGGGTAACATTTGGGTGTTCTGGCCTTTAGCTTCTTCGCTGGGGTGGTGGGCGGAGCAGGGCGAGTTGGAGATCTTCTCCGTGGCTTGCTGGGGTCCTTAAATCCGTGGCACGTCAATGGGGATTGGTTACCATTTATAGGGCGTTGCTTCTCTTGAGCTGTGATGGGCGGATAAGGGTGAGGAAGGGGAAGGGGAGGGTTGTCTCGTTGATCCAGAAGGATCTGAATTGGAAAAAAGTTGAGGAGCCGTTTGTAACCAAGGTTCGGCTCTCGAAAAGGGGAGTGGAATCTCTTCCACACCTACAGACAGGTTTCTGGCTGGCCCATCATTGTTATAGAGTGATGTTAAGGCAGGGGTGAAATCTACTTATCTTCCCTACCGGTTCGGAAGTATGTGCGCGCATTATGTGAGATTTTGGACCCTCTACGACATCTGGGTGAGTGGGCGGAGCCTCGCGCTGCTGCCACCGGTTCGCCGAACCACCCGGTTTGCCTAAACCGGTGACAACTGGTAGCATTTCACCCCTGTGTTAAGGGTATTAATCATTGGGCCATGTTATTAATAGGTGTTCTTTCCAGAATTTTGTTTACTTTTCAATATTTATCACAATTATCTTCACGCAGGACTGTGCTCCATTTAATCACTCGATGGTGTTGAGGATATATATATATCTCTGCTAGAGTTTGGGTCCTTACGGCTAGCTTTAGAACTTAGTAGCATTATTTTATTCTTATTTTACACCACTTTGAAGAGGCTGCGTTGGCTTGCACTGTGCATGGCATCACATTGGCTCGGTCTCTCAGGACCCCGCTTTGCCAGGAAGGATTGGCAAGAGGGACCAACAGAAGTCGAGATATTTGCATGGCGGATGCCGGATCGTCACGATGAGCCAATCCAAACCCACGACGTGACCAGTGACATTTGAAGGAATCTAGAGGGAGGTTGGGGAAAAATTCCCAGGCGTTCACTTCGCAGGATCCCATCACAGCTAGTTCAGAACTGATCATGCTCCCTTCTGTCTACTGGGGTAAAAAAAAAAAAAAATTGGGATCAATCCAAGACCCTGATTTTGAGAATTTGGTGGGCGGTTTCCTTGCTTTATTATAAATATTTTCGAGGATGTGAAGGGAGCAGCAATTTTGATTGTAGTGTTCTTGTCTGCCTATTGTCTCCCTGGAGAACGCAAAGCAAAAAAAAAAAAATCACTTTCCCTGATCTGATCTGATCTGGATCTTCCATCCCTCTCCTGCTTGCCTTGCTTTCCCTCTTCGTTCAACTGGAAAATTAAAAGATAATTTTGAAACTCCTCACGATTGCATTGTGGGCTCCTTCGATGCGCCAATGATCTCTTTGGATGGTTACAGGTAGTCCTCAACTTACGACCACAATTGAGAGCAAAATTTCTATTGCTAAGTGAGACATTTGTTGAATGGGTTTTGCCCCGTTTTATGACTTTTCTTGCCACCGTTGTTAAATGAATCATTGCAGTTTCATCACCCAACTAGGTAACACCATCAGTGCTTGAAAGGAGTGGCGTTTGCAGAGAGAAGAGGGGAAAAGAACTCGGGAGTCCTCAGTGCTCTCTGAGCTTGGTTGTTTTCTTACAGACATTTCATCACCCAACTAGGTAACATCATCAGTGCTACAAGGGAGTGGGGTTTTCAAAGGAGAGGAGGAGGACTGTGCGGACCTCAGTGCTCTCTGAGCTTGGTTGTTTTCTTGCAGACATTTCATTACCTAATTAGGTAACATTTTCAGTGCTAGAAGGGATGGGGTTTGCAGAGAGGAAGAAGAGGAAGAAGAAGAATTTTCCATAGCGTTATTTGCACCAAAAAAAAGGAAAATACTTATAACTCAGGTTGAAATGAGAAGCCCTTGATGCTCTCTGAGCTTGATGGTTTTGTTGCAGATATTTTAAGACCCAACTAGGTAACATCATCAGTGCTAGGAGGGAGTGGGGTTTGTGGAGAGGAGGAGGAAGACTGTGGCTACTTCGGTGCTGTCTGTCTGTTTTCTTGCAGACGTTTCACTACCCAATTAGGTAACATCATCAGTGCTAGAAGGGAGTAAAGTTTGCTCTCTGTTTATATACAACCTCTTCTAGCTCTAACGATGTTACCTAGCTCAAGCAATGAAACGACTGCAAGAAAACCATTAAGCTCCGGAGACCACCGAAGCCCCCTTTTATTTGCACCCTAATAAAGCCCGCTCCATCTTCAGCACGGCATGCGCCAATCAATCCGAAGGGTTAGCAAGACAGAGGCACCCAAGGGCCGCGGTTTTTACTCCGCCGCAGCCGAGCAGATGGAAGAACCTTATTTTTTTTTTTTTCTCCTCCCAATCCTAAAGTTTTTAATAACCTTTTCTCTTGGCTGAACCTTTGCAAATCCCATTGGAAGGGCTGGTTTTTTTTTGTTTTGTTTTTGTTTTTCCAGATGGTGGGAAATAAACTCTGGAGCACTTCAGGGTGTGGAGAACTCATTAACCTAAGCTGGCAGGCTGCCAGCTTTCTCCAAAATTCAAGGAAGCTCCTTGGGAGACCAACTTCTCTCTCTTTCTCTCTTATAAAATGTCCACCAGGACAGCAGCTCAAGCCTTTCACGGATGTTTTGCCAGCCTAACTGTTAATTTGATTTTTTTCTGGGTTATAGAAGCCAGCATGTCCAGATGGAAATCTCAGCGGGATCTTTTAAAAATGGGCCATTTAAGGAAGACCTCTTCCTCGGGTGTTTCCTTCTGCAGCCAAGCCAGGGCCTTTGAGCTGAATAGCCGTCCAGTTGGGGAGGCAATTGAAACCAAATAAATTTGATTTTAGAAAAAATGTTGCAGCTATGCAGCTCTGGGGTAGCAAAGAAACACACACCCCACCCCAAATGTCCTGATTTTTTTCTTTTTAAAGAATCGTAATTTAATAAACATCATTAGAAGGAAACATGCTTGTTTAGTATATTGTGTTGTTTTTAACACCCGGGTACCCCCCCAACGCAGCATCAGACATACTTCAAATCCGTTGCTTCCAGAAATTTAACCAATTGCTTGAACTTTCATAGTATTGAAGCTGTTACCTAGCTGGGTCGCGAAACGTCTTCAGGCAAGCAGCGAAGCTCACAGAGCAGCAAAAGCCTCCACGGTTCAGCCCTGAGCTATGAATATTCTGAAATACGGTGCTTTTATACCAGTGCTGTAACAGGTAAATCCTCAACTTATGACCACAATGGAGCTGAAAATTTCTGTTGCTCAGTGAGACATTTGTTGAGTGAGTTTCATCCCATTTTATGAACATTCTTTGCCACCTTTGTTAAGTGAATCCCCGCAGTTGTTAAGTTAGTGAGGCGGTTGTTAAGTGAATCTGGCTTCCCCCTTTGACTATCAGGAGGTCGTAAAAGGGAATCACAAGACCGTGGTACACGGCAAACGTCATAGATACATGCCAGAGGGTGAACTCCTTCCTTGCTTTGGCTCCAGCAATGGCCTTAGGTGAGAAAGAAACTCAAGACTGGCCCTCCTTGATGCTCGGTGGTGTAAGAGGCAGGAAGGGAAAACTTGGCTCAGCTTTCCCAAACACAAATAGTCCTCAACTTACAACCATAAATGAATCCCAAATTTCCGTTGCTAAGCAAAGACAATTGTTGAGTGACTTCGGTTGCAAAAGGTGATCAGATGACCTCGGGATAATGCATCGGTGATACATACGAGCCAGTTGCCAAGGGTCCAAATTTTGATCACGTGACCATAGGGATGCTGCCACGGTCGTTAAGTGTGAAAAACGGTCACAAGACAAGTCACTTGATTTCAGTGCCGTCGTTAACTTTGAATGGTCAGGAAACGGAACAGTTGCAAACCCAGGAGTATCTAGATTCCAGCCTGAATCCATACGACACTATTTCTCAGGCAGGGTGACGTGGCCTACCTCAAAGGGCTGGCAACACAGAGGTGACTGTTTGGGGGGGGGAATAAGAACAGCCTTTGTATGCAGGGCAGGGAAATCGGGGCACCCAGAGATCATCCATCAGGATCTCTCTGCTCCAGTATTAAATGCTCAAATATTAGCATTTTTTTTCAACCTGAGGCACTGAAGAGGGTGGACTTCAACTCCCAGAATGCCTCAAATATTAGCATTTTTCAACCAAGAGGGGGATGCTGGCTGGGGGATTCTGGGAGTTGAAGTCCACCCCCTCTTGAAGTGCCTCAGGTTGAAAAATGCTAATATTTGAGGCATTCTGGGAGTTGAAGTCCACCCCCTCTTGAAGTGCCCCAGGTTGAAAAAAAAAAACACTTAATATAGAAGGCCAAAGCCTCCCAGAAGCCGCCTCGTGCTTGAAATAGGCGGCCAATAAACAATATATAAACCAGGCCCCAAATAAACATTAAAGCCGGCCCGAACTACACTTCCCGTCACTCCCCGCGCGGCGACGCAACGCCGTGGCCCTACGCGCGGTCGCGTCGGCGATGACGTAACGTCGGCAGCGCCCGCCAGCCCGCCCTCATTTCCCCCCCCTTGGCGTTGCCGGGCAACGGGCCCGCCAACAAGATGGCGGCGCTCCGCCCCTGAGAGGCGAAGCCGGCGCGGCGCTGTGAAGGTTAGCCGCGGAGATGTCTCGGCCTCCGCCGCCCCGTTCTCCGTCGCCGCTGTCGACGCCGAGCAGCCAGTCGTGGCGAGACCTCAGCCACGCCTCCCTGGAGGACCGCATGGCGCTGACGCGGTCCTGGGTGGCGGCGCCTTCCGTCACCTTCTCGCTCCTCCGCGCCGGCCAGGATGAGCGGCTCTCCCGGGGACAGGAGGAGGAGCTGACGGAGAGCGAAGAGGAGGAGGAGGAGGAGGAGGAGTCCACCGAGTCGGAGCCCGAGCCGGAGCTCATGGAGGAGGTGCGGCCGCTGGCGGTGGTGGGGGGCGCTATTAGGGGATTTACGGGAGGGGGCTGGGGGGGGAAAGGGGGGAGTTTTGCCTGCGCGAAGGCATTACGGTAACGAGGAGGGGGCTCTCATTGGGGTTTTTGGAAGGGCTCCCCTATACGGAGCATTATGGGAATTGGGTAGGGGCTCTTATTAAGGGATTTACGGGGGGCTTTTGGAAAGGTTCCTCTATGTAGAGTATTATGGGAATTGAGGAGTGGGCTCTTATTAAGGTATTTACGGGAGGGGCTTTTGGAAGGGCGCCCCTATATGGAGCATTATGGAATTGGGGAGGGGCTCTTATTAAGGGATTTACGGGAGGGGCTTTTGGAAAGGTTCCTCTATGTAGAGTATTATGGGAATTGGGGAGTGGGCTCTTATTAAGGTATTTACGGGAGGGGCTTTTGGAAAGGTTCCTCTATGTAGAGTATTATGGGAATTGAGGAGTGGGCTCTTATTAAGGTATTTACGGGAGGGGCTTTTGGAAGGGCGCCCCTATATGGAGCATTATGGGAATTGGGGAGGGCTCTTATTAAGGGATTTACGGGAGGGGCTTTTGGAAAGGTTCCTCTATGTGGAGTATTATGGGAATTGAGGAGTGGGCTCTTATTAAGAGATTTACGGGAGGGGCTTTTGGAAAGGTTCCTCTATGTAGAGTATTACGGGAATTGAGGAGTGGGCTCTTACTAAGGTATTTACGGGAGGGGCTTTTGGAAGGGCGCCCCTATATGGAGCATTATGGGAATTGGGGAGGGGCTCTTATTAAGGGATTTACGGGAGGGGCTTTTGGAAAGATTCCTCTATGTGGAGTATTACGGGAATTGAGGAGTGGGCTCTTATTAAGAGATTTACGGGAGGGGCTTTTGGAAAGGTTCCTCTATGTGGAGTATTACGGGAATTGAGGAGTGGGCTCTTACTAAGGTATTTACGGGAGGGGCTTTTGGAAGGGCGCCCCTATATGGAGCATTATGGGAATTGGGGAGGGGCTCTTATTAAGAGATTTACGGGAGGGGCTTTTGGAAAGGTTCCTCTATGTAGAGTATTACGGGAATTGAGGAGTGGGCTCTTACTAAGGTATTTACGGGAGGGGCTTTTGGAAGGGCGCCCCTATATGGAGCATTATGGGAATTGGGGAGGGGCTCTTATTAAGAGATTTACGGGAGGGGCTTTTGGAAAGGTTCCTCTATGTAGAGTATTATGGGAATTGGGGAGGGGCTCTTATTAAGGGATTTACGGGAGGGGCTTTTGGAAGGGCGCCCCTATATGGAGCATTATGGGAATTGGGGAGGGGCTCTTATTAAGAGATTTACGGGAGGGGCTTTTGGAAAGATTCCTCTATGTGGAGTATTACGGGAATTGAGGAGTGGGCTCTTATTAAGGTATTTACGGGAGGGGCTTTTGGAAAGGTTCCTCTATGTAGAGTATTATGGGAATTGGGGAGGGGCTCTTATTAAGGGATTTACGGAGGGGCTTTTGGAAGGGCGCCCCTATATGGAGCATTATGGGAATTGGGGAGGGGCTCTTATTAAGAGATTTACGGGAGGGGCTTTTGGAAAGATTCCTCTATGTGGAGTATTACGGGAATTGAGGAGTGGGCTCTTATTAAGAGATTTACGGGAGGGGCTTTTGGAAAGGTTCCTCTATGTAGAGTATTATGGGAATTGGGGAGGGGCTCTTATTAAGGGATTTACGGGAGGGGCTTTGGAAGGGCGCCCCTATATGGAGCATTATGGGAATTGGGGAGGGGCTCTTATTAAGAGATTTACGGGAGGGGCTTTTGGAAAGATTCCTCTATGTGGAGTATTACGGGAATTGAGGAGTGGGCTCTTATTAAGGTATTTACGGGAGGGGCTTTTGGAAAGGTTCCTCTATGTAGAGTATTATGGGAATTGGGGAGGGGCTCTTATTAAGGGATTTACGGGAGGGGCTTTTGGAAAGATTCCTCTATGTGGAGTATTACCGGAATTGAGGAGTGGGCTCTTATTAAGAGATTTACAGGACTATAGGGGCTTTTGGAAGGGTGCCCCTATACGGGACATTACGGGAATTGGGGATGGGAGCTCTTATTAAGGGATTTACGGGAGGGGCTTTTGGAAGGGCGCCCCTATATGGGGCATTACCGGAATTGGGAGGGGAGCTTCTGAGGAGACTTGGGGGGGAGGTTTTTGGAAAGGTGCCTCTATGCAGGGCATTACAAGAACTGAGGAGGGGGCTCTTATTGGGATATTTACGGGAGAGAATTTTTGGGAAGATTCCTGTGTGGAGCCAGGTGAATGTGAGATGGGTAGCGTATAAATTTAATTATTAATTTAATTATTATTTAATTATAACAGCAATAATAACAATAGCAACAATAATCATATAATATACTTGGAACAGCTTCCGTCCTGCGACAAATATCTGTAACACTGTCAAACATCCAGATTTGCCTAGCACAGGTCCTTGGTAAGGACTCGATAGGTGGACAGAGATGCCAAACCCAGGCCGAACATCTGGCTGGCTGTGTGATGATCAATAATAATAATAATAATAATAATAATAATAATAATAATAATAATAATAATAATAATACACAAGAGAGAAGGCTGCCCTCTGCTGGGCATCCCTCACCAAGCTACAAGTGATAAACCTTGCATTTGGATTATTTTCACTCTGCACTACTGTGTCTTCCTCTGTTTCTCTTTCTCTCTTGCATGCGTGCAGGTGTTGTTTGACGGTATGTTGACCGAAGCTACCATTGCCGAAGCCCTCCACACCTTGGGCCATTCCGCCTCTGGCACGGAGCGTGTCTACCTTCACCTGTCACTTTCGGTGAGTTTAGGAAAACTTCCTTCGCAGCATTGTCCCCTAGATCAGAGGTCTCCAAACTTGGCGACTTTAAGCCTGGAGGACTTCAATTCCCAGATTTTCCCAGCCAGCTTTGAGAGTTGAAGTCCTCCAGGCTTAAAGTTGCCAAGGTTGGAGAACCCCTGACCAGCGGTGAAATCTGAACCGGTTTACTACCGGTTCGCTGGCTGCACATGTGCAGTGTGTACCACACACCAAATGCAAGGTGCGCGTGGGCAGTGCACGCCAAAAAGAGGCATGTGGTAAGTAGAACAGCGCGGGGGGAATCAATCAGCTGTGGCGCGCAATCTTTTTTTTGCCTCTGATGATCGCGCGGCTCAGCTGGGATCATCAGAAGCTTTTTTTTTACTTTTAAAAGCATTTTTTCTACAACTTCTTCGGCCCAAGAGGTTGTAAAAAAAAATGCTTTTAAAAGGCTCTGACGATCCCAGCTGAGCCGCGCGATCATCAGAGGCTTTTTTTTTAACCTTTTAAAAGCGTTTTTTCTACAACCTCTTCAGCCGAAGAGGTTGTAGAAAAAATGCTTTTAAAAGTAAAAAAAAAAAAAAAAAAAGCCTCTGATGATCGTGTGGCTCAGCTGGGCATAAGCGGAGGGGGGGGCAGGGATTTTTGCTACCGGTTCTCTGAACCACCCGCCGCCATCGCTACCGGATCGGGCGATCAAGACCGAACCGGGAGCATTTCACCCCTGCCCTATATCAGTGAGATGTTGGCAACACTGCAGGAGCCACCTGACCATTCCGAGGTCTTTCCACTGAGAGCAGGATTTTGAACTCGGTGGGTGAGTCATCAGGGTCTCAGGCAGAAGTTCTCCAGGAGATCTAAAGACCTTCTGACCCCTGGCTCTCTCCCTTTTTATTCCCGCAGGATCGTCTTTTGAGTGACGTCCATATTCTTTACAAATACATCCATCTTGAAAAACTCAACCTTTCCTACAATAAAATCAGCGGTACGTGAGCTCCACGGCTACTGACCCTCGAAGCGGTCAGCCACGGTACAGGTAGTCCTCAACTTACGGCCATTCATTTAGCCACCATTCGAAGTTATAATGGCACTGAAAAAAAGGGACTGATAACCGTGTCTCACACTTACGACCTTTGCAGCCTCCCCAGGGTCAATGCAATCAACGTTCAAACGCTTGGCAACTGACTCGTATTTATGACGGTTTGCAGCGTCCTGGGGACACGTGATCCCCGTTTTGCAACCTTCGGACAAGCAAAGTCAAGGGGGGAAAATCTCGATTCACTTAACAGCCATGTTCCCAACTTAACAACGGTGATTCATTTAACAATTGTGGCAAAAAAAGGTCATAAACATGGGGCAAAACTCACTTAGCAAATGTTTCAGAAATTTGGGGCTCAACTGTGGCCGTAAGTCAAGGACTACCTGAACAGAATAGCTTAGCTATTTACATGCAGCATTCAAAGGCCGTTCAAATCCAAAACTAGAATTAAAATTAGACCAGCCTGAGCTGCACGTATCTTCTTTTATATCCCTCTTCTCATTTTTCTTTTTAGATCTCTCCTGCATCAGTTACATGCCTTACCTGTTAGAACTGGATGTCTCCCATAATGTACTAACCACCTATTTTGACTTCCGGCCACCGAAGAATCTCCAGGTGAGTTTATTATTATTTTATTTATTTTTATTAATCATATTTCTATGCCGCCCACTCTCCGAGGACTCTGGGCGGCTTACAACAATCGACAGTATACTAAGTATACAACAATCTGGGTCCTCATTTTACCCACCTCGGAAGGATGGAAGGCTGAGTCAACCTTGAGCCGGTGAGATTTGATCCGCTGAACTAGCAGTCAGCTGAAGTAGCTGCAGTACTGCACTCTAACCACTGCGCCACCTCGGCTCGAGTTGCAAAATAGAGCTGGGCCTGAGGTTTGAATCTGGCTCACCCCCCTTGTAGTTACCCGGCCAGTCAAACTGCCTTGTTCAAGCCACCTAAATGTAGATGATGATCAGGCTGAGGCCAAGGGAGGAGTCAAATGCGTCATGAGTCATGAGTCTCTTCATACCCACAAGAGATTTAAGTCCGACCTATGAATTCCTTCTACTCTCTATCTACCACCAATTTCCATTGGCCGTTAGTAGTTCAGATTCTTGTAGAGAGCTTAAGCTTGCAAATCAATCTCTAGGCCCATTTGAACTGCCTGGATCTCCTGATTTCCTTGGCACTTGACACTAAATGGAGAAAGTGGAATTTTTCATTTATTTCATAGAGATTGGTTGCATTTATCTTTGCAGCTGAGACTGAGTACACTTAAAATGTTTATAGAAATTTGTAGAATTCTTTCTCTCTCCCTCACTCCCTCCCTCTTTCTCCCCTTCCTTTTTTCCCCTCCCTCCCTCTCTCTCTCTCTCTCTTTTCTTTTCTTTTCTTTTCTTTTCTTTTCTTTTCTTTTCTTGTTTTTCCAAATTATCCTGAATTGAGTGGATGATGGTGATGAGGATAGAAGACAGCAATAGAATATTTGTAGCTCAGGGTTGAACAGTGAGGCCTTGGTGCTCTCTGAGTTTGGTGGTTTCCTTGCAGACGTTTTATGACCCAACTAAATAACATCATCAGTTCTGGGAGGAGGAGGAGGTTCTTTGAGGTCCTTGGTGCTGTCTGAGCTTGATGGTTTTCTTGCAGACGTTTCATGACCCAACTAGGTAACATCATCAGTGTTGGGAGGAGGAGGTTCTTTGAAGTCCTTGGTGCTGTCTGAGCTTGGTGGTTTTCTTGCAGACGTTTCATGACCCAACTAGACAACATCATCAGTGTTGGGAGGAGGAGGAGGAGGAGGAGGTTCTTTGAGGTCCTTGGTGCTCTCTGAGCTTGGCTGTTTATTTGCAGACGTTTCATGACCCAACTAGGTAACATCATCAGTGCTAGAAGGGAGTGAGGTTTGCTCTCTGTTTATATAATGGTGGCTTGCCCTGTCAGTGTTGCTAGAAGTGGTCTTGGTCATTCCTTAATTAGACTGTTGTTTACTGTTCGTTTGTCTGAGTTGGTAGTTTGATCAGGGTATCCTTAATTTGTTGGTCTAGTGTTAATCTTGGAGTGGATTGCTAGCAAAGTTATGCTTTATCCTTCTTGTTTCCTTTTCAGCTTTGTGATTATCTCTTTCAAATGGTATGTAAACGTTGTTTATCTCGTTGTGCCCGTTGATGGCTGTTTTGTCAGAGTGCCAGCTTCCAGGAATTCTCTAGGGATTTTGGACTAGGCTTCCTCTTGGATGCTCACAGTTCCCCTCTTGAAACTATGGTTCGGTCTCTCCATGTGTGGCACACATGTTTTCCTCATGTCTTCTGACTGCTAGTTGGTTCATGTACCCTTCTCCATTTTTTGTTCTCTTTCCAGGTGGCTAATTTTTCCTACAATGACATTTCAAAAATGAAAGACCTTTCCGATTATCAGTCCCTCAAAAAGCTCATACTGGACAGTATCCTTTTAAAAAAAAAAAACAACAACGATGCAGAGCAGGGAATTGTCTGCTCAGAAATCTTCCTTGGATCCCAGTAGATTCCCCGTCCAAGCTGCCTTTTTAAAAAGAGGATAATTTTTATTAAAACTAAATAAATAAATGAACAGGAAGGTTGCAAGCTATACAGCAAAGGCCACGCCGGTCCCTGGCAGCCTTTTTAATTGCAGGAATTAGCACTCTAATCATCCTAATAGGATGAAGGCTTAATTTGCTTTCTATCCACCGGATATTTTGGGATTGATCAAACCTACTTATGACGGTCATTTTGTGAAGAGCTCATTCACCCTAACCCTCGTGTTACGAAACCACTCTCAATGTATAGGCTCCCGGGGGAGCCCAAAATTTTTGCCTCTAAGCAAGATGCTCGTTAAGTGAGTTTTGCCCCATGATATGCCCTTTCTTGCCGCAGTTTTCCATGGCAGGATTTCAGATTTCTGTTGCTAATCGAGGCAGTTGTTAAGCGAGTCTTGCCTCAATTTTATGACCTTTCTTGCTGCGGTTGTTAAGTGGATCGTGGCAGTCATTAAGTTAGTAATGGGGTTGTTAAGTGAATCCGGCTTCCCCCGTTGACTTTGCTCGTCAGAAGGTTGCAAAAGCGGGTCACGTGACCCCGGGACACAGCGACGGTCATAAATATGAGTCAGTTGCCAAGTGTCTGAATTTTGATCATGTGCAACGGTCATAAGTGTGAAAAACGCTCCTAAGTCGCTTTTTTCAATGCCATTGTAACTTTGCATGGTCACTAAACAAATTGTTGTAAGTTGAGGACCACCTGGAATCAAATTTGGGAGTTGGATTTACTACAAAACTCTGCTAAATGCCTTCCCAAATCCAGTTTTTTTTTTAAAGTTCTTTTTATCCAACTTTACAAAAAGCAACGTTTGCAGTGTGACCAGAACCGATGCTCGAAGCCCCTTTTCTTTATACAGATGGTCCTCGACTTATGACAGTTCATTTAGTGACCATTCGAAAAAAGTGAGTTATGACCGTTTTTCATAATTATGTCCATTGCTGCATCCCCAGGGTCACGCGATCAAAATTCAGACCCTTGGCAACTGGCTCCTATTTATGACGGTCGCAATGTCCTGGGGTTATTTCCCTTTTGTGACCTTCTAATAAGCCAAGTCAGTGGGGAAAGCCAGATTCACTTAATGACCCATCTTACTAGTTGAGTTAGACCGCAGCGATTCACTTAACAAGTGCGGCGAGAAAAGTTGTAAAACGGGGCAGAATTCATGGAGCCAATGTCTCACTCAGCGACATTCGGGCTGAATTGCAGTCATAAGATGAGGACTGCTTGCAAATTCCTTGAAAATCCGGGGGGGGGGGGTGTTACAGCCAGGCCCTGCCTAAGGCCTCCATAACACCCTGCTGATTGTGTATATCGTGCGCCAGGAGACGGATTGACGTCATTTTCCTTCGAATTGTCGTCGGACTGGGACCGATCGTTCGGCAACGGGTCCCTTGGAAACACACCTGACTGCCTCCGGAGCAGAGAGCCCATATCTTGGGAGAAATTCTCCTGGCTCAAACAGACTTTCAGACTGATTTATTGTTTCCAATCCCCGGTTTGATACGAGCAGCTTCCTTTTTTTTCTCAAACGCAGAACGATAATACGAGATACTTGAAGCGGACTAATTTTATCACGTATTTCCTGCTCAAAAAGGCTCTACACGGGGAAGTCAGTAAATAGAGGCTTGGAAATTTAACCGTGTTTCTAATTTCGAGGTGTAAAATATTTAAAATATTAGATTAACAGAGTTGGGAGGGACCTTGTAGGTCATCTAGTCCAACCCCTTGCTGAAGCAGGAGACCCTACACCATTTCTGAAGGATGGCAGTCCAATCTCTTCTTGAAAGCCTTCAGTGATGAAGCTCCCACCACTTCTGAAGGCAACTTCTGTTCCATGGGTTGATTGTTCTCACTGTCAGAAAGTTCCTCCTTATTTCCAGGTTGAATCTCTCCTTGATCAGTTTCCATCCATTATTCCTTGTCTGGCCTTGGAAAATAGCTTGACCTCTTCCTCCTCTCTGTGGCAGCCCCTCAAATATTGGAAGATGTTCTCCTGTCTCCCCTGGTCCTTCTCTTCACTAGACCAGCCATGCCCAGTTCCTGCAACCGTTCATTGTATATTTTAGCCTTCAGTCCCCTCATCATCCTGGTTGCTCTTTTCTGCACTCTTTCTAGAGTCTCCACATCTTTTTTTATAGTGTGATGACCAAAACTGGATGCAGGACTCTAGGTGTGGTCTTACTAAGGCTTTGCAGAGGGGTATTAGTACTTCCCTTGAGTGAGGTACTACACACAGTGAAGTCAGTAAAAAGAGACATGAAAACGTAACCGTGTTTCCAATTTCGAGATGTAAAATATTTAAACTGCAGCTTCCCTCCTGAGAATCCCGAGTCAGTTGCCTCAAAGGCTCAAGACTAACATTTAGACGGTATCTAAATGTTGCTTAGATACCATCAACATTGGCTTAACCTCCTGCCTTTGCTGACTTTATTCTTATTTTCCTCCCAAGATAATCAAAGCTCCCTGATGCACAAACAGGTAGTCCACGGCTTACGGCCGTAATTGAGCCCTAAGTGAAACACGTGTTCAGTGACTTTTGCCCCATCTTACGACTTTTGCCACTGTTGCTAAGAGGATCGTTGCAGTTGTTAAGTTGAGACTGCAATGATTCACTTAACAGCTGGGACAAGAACGGGGTAAAACAACAAAGGTCTCACTTAGCAACAGAAATTTTGGGCTCAGTTGTGGCCGTAAGTCAAGGACTACCTGCACCAAGCTGGAGCTTTGGTCTCTCCAGTCCGGTGGTGTTATATCTGTCCCAGGTTTGTTTTTTTCTCTAAGTTTCAGAAAAGAATCTTTCCCAGCCCTACCTGGAAATGCCAGGAGATTAAATTTACAGAATAAGAAGAGTCGGAAGGGACCTTGTAGGTCATCTAGTCCAACCCCCCACCCAAGCAGGAGATCCTACATCATTTCTGACAGATGGCAGTCCAGTCTCTTCTACAAAGCCTCCAGGGATGAAGCTACCCCAACGTCTGAAGACAAACTGTTGCATTGCCTTGGGAGACAAAACTCTTATCTCCATGATGGCGAATCTATGGCACATGTGCCTGAAGTGGCACGCAGAGCCATGTCGCCTGGCACGCGTGGCCTCGCCCGTTGCTCTTCTGGATTTCTGGCGCACATGTGCGCACGATGATCAGCTGGCCTTCGCGTGTGCGGCAGTGCCGGAAACTGGAGGAGCTGGTCTTCCAGTTTCCGCGTGCGCTTGAGCGCTGGCCATCTGATCATTGCACACACATGCGCGACAGAAACCAGGAGCTGCCTGGTGCACATGTGCTTGCCCAAATCCGGAAGTTCCAGTTTCGGGCATGCGCATGCTCACCGGGCAGCTCCTCCGAAAAGGTTCGCCATCACTGCTCTATCTGATAATAATAACTTGATAATAATAATAACTTTATTGTCATTGTACATGTATACACAGTATATCCATACAACGAAATTCACTTAACGCCCAAAGACCAGGTCCAACTCACATAACAATCCCCAAACACCCGCCACCCACCCACCACAATTCCCCCACCCCTAAAACCACCCAAACATCCACACAACAGACCAAGTAATGCTGTCCAACAATGGTGGCCCTTTAGTTATTGTTGAGTGCAATTATAGCTCTGGGATAAAAACTATTCAGAAGACGTGTGGTCTGAGTTTGAATTGTCCTGTCTCTTCTGCCAGAAGGCAACGGTCCAAAAAGATTGTAAGCAGGACGGGAAGAGTCTCGGAGAATGTTCTGCAACTTTCTCAAACAGCGAGATGGGAAGATGTCGTCCAGGGCTGGTAGCTGGAGCCCGATGAGATTCTGGGCAGTTTTAATAATTCTCTGTAGAGCTTTTTTGTCCGCTACAGAGCTGCTCCCACACCATGCAAGAATGCCGTATGTCAGGACACTCTCCATGGTGCTGCGATAGTCGGACAGAAGTAGATGTTCCTCCTCTGTAGGAACAAATCTCATTTCAGCTATGACTAATGGGCTCTTTCGGTTGATAGAACAAACGAGGAACAACGGAGCTTCTCAATCATCCCGCTCATGGGTAAGGCAACTGGACTTCTCCTTTTGTTTTTTCCCCACAAAAACGTTTCGCTTCTCATCCGAGAAGCCTCTTCAGTTCGAACGAACGTTAGCACCGAAGAAGTTCTAGAACCGACGCTAGAACTGAAGAAGCTTCTCGGATGAGAAGCGAAACGTCTTCACAAGAAAAAAAAAACCCCAGAAAGTCCAGTTGCCTCCTGAGAAAAAAGCACCTTTGGGAAAACCATGGTCTGGATGACTGAGAATCTCCTCAGACTTTCAGCAAGAAGAAGCTTCGCTCAAGTAAACATCTCCCTCAGGTTTTCTTCAATTCACGGAGTTTTTCTCCCCAGTCCTTCCTCCGTCAGCTTTGACCTCGTCTAGGTTGCCGTTTCATTTCTTAATTCTCATGCCGACGTGCAGATAACAGCATCACGGAGATTCAGGGCCTGGAGAATTGCCACAGCCTGACCTACCTGAGCCTGGCGAACAACAAGATCAAAGCAATTACCGGCTTAAAACATTTGCCCATCAAAACTCTCTGCCTGGTGAGTTTCCATCTGTTGCCTGAAATGAAACGTCTTTCCTGACCGTAATATGTTGGGTTGTCGTACAAGAATGTAGGGTTTGAAGCCCTATATTGGGTTGGTGACCGAGGGCCCTTTGATGACTCATGGACTTCAATTCCCAGAATTCCTGGCTGGCTGGCTCAGGAATTCTGGGAGTTGAAGTCCACGAATTGTAAAGGGACCATGGAATAAATCTGGATTCATTCTCAGTTAATTTAAGGACAAGCATCACCTGGACAAGATGGGATTGGACATAATTCCATCCTCAAGTTTTGCAGTGTGGGGAGATACAGGTAATCCTGGACTTACAACACTTTGTTTAGTGACCATTTAAAGTTACAAGGATCCTGGAAAGAAGTGACTTACAGGCATTTTTCACACTTACAATTGTTGCCACATTCCCGTAGTCCCACTATTAAAATCGAGACGCTTGGCAACTGATTCATAGTTATGACGGTTGTGGTCTCCTGGCTCACACGATCCCCTTTTGCGACCTTCCAACCAGAGGCATTTGTTCAGTGAGTTTTGCCCCATTTTATGACTTTTCTTGCCACATTTGTTAAGCAAATCACTGCGGTCGTTGAATTAGTCACAGCGTGACTAATTGTTAAGTGAATCTGGCTCCCCCCTGGACTTTGCTTGTCGGAAGGTCGCAAAGGGGGACACAACAACCGTCATAAATACAAACCAGTCACCAAGCATCTGAGTTTCAATCACGTGACCCTGGGGATACCGTAAAACGGTTCTAAATGTGAAGAACGGTCATCATTCCCCCCCTTTTTTTTTTCCAGTGACGACGTAACTTTGAGCGGTCACTAAACGAACTCTTCTGAGTCGAGGACCACCTGTATATAAAACGATGTGGTGTTGAAGCAAGCAGTGAGGGTCCCTGTTCTGCCCCAGCTACGGATCCCAAAGAACGCAGCACACACAAACTCTATACCAAGCTTATTTTACTCAAATAACTCAGTCTTTATCATCCAAAGGCTGTTAATAAACTGTCTTAACAGCCTACAAGAATTCTAAGATAAAGTAATCACAGTTTTACTAGAGTTGGCAGAAAGCCCAGAAGCAATTTGCAGAGAATCCGGACACGAAATAGAGTGAACTAAAGTTGTTCCCTACAACTTGCTTCAGTTGGCATTCCTCCTTAAATAGGCGAAGGGAGTGGCCAATTAGCCCCAAGCCTCACTCTCGAGGAGACCTCCTCCTGAGGAGCCACTCCTGCCTTTTGGCAGCTCTGTGCGCCCATGCTTCGAGAAGAGACTCCTCCTCTTCTTCCTCTTCACTTAAGGGAGCTTCTGGAGGTTCTGAAGGTCCTGGCTGAATCCCCGCCTCTGGCACCACATCTTCTCCAGCCTCCTCATTGTCCGACTCAGGTGCCAGCTGCATAGGCTGCTGGCGGAGCCCCACACCAGCCTCCTCACTGTCCGAATCAGCTACTTGCTGCACAGGCCACTGATAGGCCACAACATTCCCTGATTGTGCTTGGATTATGCCCAAAGAACCACCATGGTTGGGTACATTGGAGGCTCGTGATTATTTTGGCAGAAATCAAACCAGATCGAGAAAGCAGTGGGCTTGGAAAAACTCGAGGTGTTACAAGTGTTGGATTTGTCCGGCAACCAGATCAGCAGCTTGGAGGGTCTGGAAGACCACAATCTCCTGCAGGACATCAACCTGGAAGATAACCAGGTAAGATTTATACAGCAGAGGAGACTCAGCCGCCAACCGCTTGTTGGGGGGGGGGGAATTCCTCCTTTTCCGGAACCTCTTGCAATGGCCAGGAGAACCAAGGAACGAGGCTTTTCCCAGAATCCTCCTCTTTTGGAAATATTGGGGTGGGGGGTGGGAGTGGGGAAGTTGAAGGAAAAGAAGGGAGGAGAAGCGACTTTGAAAAGGTGCTTGAGAAAATGTCTGTAAATTGGACAAACCCATATGAGTAACTCTTATTTTGCATAATTTATTGCACAAATGAGCCATCATCTATCTATCCATCATATCTTTGTATATCCATCCATCATTTATTGATTTATTCATTCTATCATCTATTGTCCATCTAGTATATAACCAACCATCCATCCATACTACCTACCTATCTATCTATCTATCATCTATCTCTACCCACCTACCTATCTAACCATCCATCCACTCACTCACCCATTTGATGACAAATGAGCCATCATCTATCTACCCATCATATCTTTGTTTATCCATTCATGGATCCATCATATCAGCCATCCACTTATTCATTCTATCATTGTCCATCTAGTATATAACCAACCATCCATCCATTCTACATCTATATCTATCCTATCCTGTCTGTCTGTCTGTCTGTCTGTCCTCTGTCATCTATCATCTATCTGTCTGTATTTCTATCTCTTTATCTCTATGTTTATCTGGTCTATCATGTCAACCATATCTATCTGTCACTATTCATGTCTGTTTATCTATTATGTCTGTTTATCTCTATCATCTGTTTATATCCCTCTAAAGCCATGAGGGTTAAAAACCTGAGTTTCTTGATTCTTTTTTTTTTCTTTTTCCTCCCTGGGCAACTGAGATGAGGAAAGTCCTTGGGTGTCACCTGCTCCCTGATGAAGCTGCTCCATCCATCCATCCATCCATCCATGATTTTGAAGCATCCTCCCTCCCTCCCTCTTTCCTTTAATCCATACCGTTCTTCTTCTCCTCCTCGTCATCAGGTGTCTGAATTGAGCGAGCTGGAATATATTGAATCCCTGCCTCTGCTGAGAGTGTTCAGCCTCTTGAAGAATCCCGTTCAGGTGAGGGAGAAGTCAAACCGTCAATGAAATATCGGAAGAGTTGTAAATCTTTATCATGCTAACAATGTCATTTGGTAGGACAATTAAGGGACGGGTAACGATTTGAAGTCGATTCCACCAAGAGAAGCAGGACAGGGCAACATCGCCCAGAGTCGCTTTGGATAGTGAGAGAGCAATAGCACTTGCACTTATTCATAAATCCAACTTGTATGTAAGTCCTTTACTTACAACAGTTCACTTAGTGACCATTCAAAGTTAAAGCGTCACTGAAAACAGGGACTGATGTCGTTTTTCAGTTATGACCTTTGCAGTATCCCCACAATCCCGTGATCAGAATTCAAAGGCTTGGCAACTGACTGGTATTTATGACTGTTGCAGTGTCCTGGGGTCATGCAATCCCCCCCCCTTTTTTTTTTTTTTTAATTTGATTCATATGTCGCCCTTCTCCGGAGACTCAGGGCGGCTTACAATGCGTTAAGCAATAGCCTTCATACTTTTGTATATTTATACAAAATCAGCTTATTGCCCCCACAAACTGGGTCCTCAATTTACCCACCTTAGAAAGGATGGAAGGCTGAGTCAACCTTGAGCCTGGTGAGATTCGAACTTACAGTAATTGCAGACAGCTGGATGATAATAACAGGCTATTAGTCTGCTGTGCCACCAGGCTCTTTTGCGACCTTCTGATCAGCAAAGCCCAATGGCGAAACCAGATTCACTTAACAACCGGGGTTACTAACTGCAGTGATTCACTTAAACAACACCAAATTGTTGGGCTCAATTGCGGTCGTAAGTTGAGGACTGCCTGTACACCGCTTCACGGTGCTGTTATACAGCCCTCTCTAAGCGATTTATGCAGTCAGCCTGTTGCCCCCAAACATCTGGGTCCTCCTTTGGCCAACCTCAGAAGGATGGAAGGCTCAGTCAACCTTGAGCCAGTCAGGATCGAACTCCTGGCAGCGAGCAGAGTCATCCTGCAACGCTGCATCCTAACCGCTGCGCCACCACGGCTCCTGACTGTCCTATAAATTTAACAAATAAAAGAAATAGATTTAATGCATCAATAAATACATCCACCGTAGCTGCAAAGTTGGAGAGTTGACCTAACAGAACAACAGCGTGTTTGGTTTGTTTGATGAAGGGCTTCTTCATTTGGTATCTTTATGGCTTTTAAGGACTTTTTTCCCCCCTCTATAGTCTTTATGTGGCGATTTTATACTTGGTCGCCACCCAGAATGCATTGCGAGAAGAGCAGCCCTATGGGCTTGCATAATAAATACACTGAAATGCAAGAACCTGTTTTGGTGGCCGGACCATAGGATTTTCTCCAAGTCCTGAGAAACTTCAGAGTCGAGAAACCTTGGCTATAGGGTTTCCTCCCTGAGCAGGGGGTTGGACTAGAAGACCTCCGAGGTCCCTTCCAACTCTTGTCATTCTGTTGGCTGTAACCATACGAGGGGCGAGCCTTCAAATACCAAGAGCCTTGGTGGCTCAGCAGACTAAAGCACTGTTAAGTAACACCAGCTGCCTGCAATTACTGCGAGTTCAAATCTCACCAGGCTCAAGGTTGACTCAGCCTTCCATCCTTCCGAGGTAGGTAAAATGAGGACCCGGATTGTGGGGGCAATAAGCTAACTTTGTATAAAAAAAGAACACCGTTTGGGAGGGCCGAAAGCCCTACTAAGCAGGTATATACAAAAGTATGAAGGCTATTGCTTAACACATTGTAAGCCACCCTGAGTCTCTGGAGAAGGGCGGCATATAAATCGAACCAATAAGTAAGTAAGTAAGTAAGTAAGTAAGTAAGTAAGTAAGTTAAAGCAATGTAAGAATCGACCAAAAAGATCGAAAGAAATTAAAGGCAGAGCAGCTTCTTTCCCCTTTTCTGTGAACATCTGCAGACCTTGGAAGACGAGGTGGCTTTTGAGGGATTTCCCCTCGAGGATCTGGATCACGTTCCCTTGCACCGCCGGATGTGACAACTTTGTGTGATTAACAAGCCGGCGGATCTCATCTGCCACGCCAGCGACATTTAAATCAGAGTAAAATCTCCCATCTATGCCGGAGGCAGCATCTGTTTTGGTCTCGTCCTGAACGGGGGAGATGATGAAGCACTCACATCCGAGGTTTAAAGAGTCTTCGAGATAGGTCCCAAGAGGCCCTGGTAGAAATATAACCCATTTATCAGCATTTTGCTGCTTGGTAGAAGTTGCTTGGCACAATCCACCGGGGATTAGTCTCTTGTGGAAGGCACAGCTGTTTAATCCAATGTTTAAATTCCAAATGGAGCCCAGAAGAGTCCTTAGAGGTCTTCTAGTCCAACCCCCTGCTCAAGCAGACTAATAGCCTGTTATTAACATCCAGCTGCCTGCAATTACTGCAGGTTCGAATCTCACCAAGGCTCAAGGTTGACTCAGCCTTCCATCCTTTCTAAGGTAGGTGAAATGAGGACCCAGTTTGTGGGGGCAATAAGCTGACTTTGTATAAAAAATATACAAAAGAATGAAGGCTATTGCTTAACGCATTGTAAGCCACCCTGAGTCTCCGGAGAAGGGCGGCATATAAATCAAATTAAAACAAAAAAAAACAGGAGACCCTACTATACCCAGCTGTTATGGGAATCCAGTTTCCCCACTGACTTTGCTTGTCAGAAGGTCGCAAAAGGAGAACACTTGAGCCTGGGACCCTGGGACCACAAAAACTAAAGAGCTTATAATTGATTTCAAGAGGAAGAGAGATGTTCATCTACCACTATACATAAATGGTGAGGAGGTGGAGAGGTTGGGTAGTTTTAAATTTCTGGGCACTTATACCTCGGAGGACCTCTCATGGACTATGAATGCTAACATGCTTGTGAAGAAGGCACAGAAGAGGCTGTACTTCCTGAGAATGCTCAGGAAGATAAATCTATCTCAGCATCTACTTCTGTCCTACTATCTCAGCACCATTGAGAGTGTCCTGACATACGGCATTCTTGCATGGTACGGGAGCAGCTCTGTAGCGGACAAAAAAAGCTCTACAGAGAATCATTAAAACTGCCCAGAATATCATCGGGCTCCAGCTACCAGCCCTGGACGACATCTTCGCATCTCGCTGTTTGAGAAAGTTGCAGAACATTCTCCGAGACTCTTCCCATCCTGCTTACAATCTTTTTGGACCGTTGCCTTCTGGCAGAAGAGACAGAACAATTCGAACTCGGACCACACGTCTTCTGAATAGTTTTTATCCCAGAGCTATCATTGCACTCAACCATGAACTAAAGGGCCACCATTGTTGGACAGCATTACTTGGTCTGTTGTGTGGATGTTTGGGTGGTTTTAGGGGTGGGGAATTTGGGGTGGGTGGGTTTTTGGGGATTGTTATGTGTGTTAGACCTGGTCTTTGGGCGTTAAGTGAATTTTGTTGTATGTGTATACTGTGTATACACATACAATGACAATAAAGTTGTTTATTATCTGTTGTGACTTAGGCTTACTGAGTCACTACAATACACAATTAGTCCAAAACACCCCCCCCCCTATTTTATTGTAACAGCTGAGAATTACGTTCATTCCCAGCTGAGTCCCAATTAGTTGCGAAAAAAATCCTTCGGAAGAAATCCTTCGGGGTAATCGCCAAACTTTATCATCTTGGGGAAAAGCCCCAAGTAAGTGGTTTGTTCACTTGTTCCAGATAATCCTCCACTTGAAAGCATTCGTTTAACAACTCTGAAAACGGTCATAAATCCCTTTCTTCCAGTGCTGTCGTAACTTTGAACGGTCACTAAATGAACTGTCGTATGTCGAGGACTCCCTGCACCCTCTTATTTCCTCTCAGCGTCTCCTCCTCCTCTACTTCCCGTGTCAAACTACGATTGAATTAATCTGATAAAATAACTCTTCCCTCTTATTAGCCTGAGAAATCAAACAAAAAAATGAAACCTACCCATTTCTGCATTTTCCTCAGGACCAAGAAGATTATTGGCTCCTGGTGATTTTTATGCTGCTCCGACTGATCAAACTGGATCACAAGAAGATCTCCGCGGAGGAAAAGGTAAATGCCCTTCCCCCACTCACAACACTCAATCGTAATATTACAAGCAGACCTCGACTTACAACTGCAATGGAGCCCAAGATTTCTGTTGCTAAGCGAGACGGTCGCTAAGTGAGTTCTGCCCCCTTTTGTGACAGATAGATAGGTAGTTAGGTAGATAGATAGGTAGATAGATCCGAGATAGATAGATAGATAGATAGATAGATAGATAGATAGATAGATGATTCCTCCCTCCCTCCCTCTCTTTCTCCTCCCACCCTGCCTTTCTCCTTCCTCCTTCCTTCCTTCCTTCCTTCCTTCCTTCCTTCCTTCCTTTTTTTCCCACTTACCAATAACCCTTAGACTTGTATACCTCTTCACAGTGCTTTTACAGCCCTCTCTAAGTGGTTTATAAAGTCAGCATAATTGCCCCCAACAATCTGGGTCCTCATTTTATCAACCTCGGAAGGATGGAAGGCTGAGTCAACCATGAGCCAGTCAGGATCGAACTGCTGGCAATCGGCAGAATTAGCCTGCAATGCTGCATTCTAACCACTGCGCCACCTTGTAAGTCATGGACTACCTGTATGCATAATTGACCTATATTTTCCCTTTTTCTTACCGGGAGTAGGTTGCCGCTGTGAACAAGTATGACCCCCCTCCAAAAGTGGTGGCTGCTCAGGACCACATGACTCACATCATGTACAGCATGATGCAACCCCAACACATCTTCAACAGGTGACCTCTTCCTCCTTCTCCTCCTCCTCTTCCTCCTCCTCCTTCTCCTTCTCCTCCTTCTCCTCCTCTTCCTCCTCCTTCTCTTCCTCCTCTTCCTCCTCCTTCTCCTCTTCCTCCTCCTCCTTCTCCTCCTCCTCTTCCTCTTCCTCCTTCTTCTCCTTCTCCTCCTCTTCCTCCTTCTCCTCTTCCTCCTCCTCCTTCTCCTCCTCTTCCTCCTCCTCCTTCTCCTCTTCCTCCTCTCCTCTTTCCTCCTCCTTCCTCCTCTTCCTCATCTTTTTCCTCTTCCTGCTCTTCCTCTTCCTCCTTCTCCTCCTTTCCTCTCCTCCTTCTCCTCCTCTTCCTCCTCCTTCTCCTCCTCCTCTTCCTCCTCCTCCTCCTCCTCCTTCTCCTCTTCCTCCTCCTTCTCCTCCTCTTCCTCCTCCTCCTTCTCCTCCTCCTCTTCCTCTCACGAAGTGGGCTTCTTCGGCCTTTCCTCTCCTCCTCTTTCCAAACTAAATTGGTGTCCCAGAAACACCCTGGTGGTAGGAAATGTAACCGAATCTTGGTTGGCCAAGCAGACTATCCCATCTTGTGAGTCCTCACCTCACAGTTCAAAATAATGATTCCCACCTCTTCATTCCCTGGAAGCAACCTGTCAGAGCAGATTGTCACCTCACACCCAAAACGAGAGACACAAGGAACTCTTTAACAGGACCCACTGATCATTAAAAGCTCCCTTGGGAGTGACCAAAACTTGCAGCTATGATGGCTTCAAGCTGTCTTCTGAATGGATGGGATGGGATCAAATCGAATTGGAGTTGGAAGGGACCTGGTAGGTCATCTAGTCCAACCCCCCCACCCAAGCAGGAGGCCCTACACCATTTCTGACAGAGGGCAGTCCAGTCTCTTCTTGAAAGCTTCCAGTGATGAAGCTCCCACAACTTCTGAAGGCAACTTCTGTTCCCTTGGTTGATTGTTCTCACTGTCAGAAACTTTCTCCTTATTTCCAGGTTGAATCTCTCCTTGTTCAGTTTCCGTCCATTATTCCTTGTCGGGCCTTCAGGTGCTTTGGAGAATAGCTTGATTCCCTTCCTGTCTGTGGCAGCCCCTCCAATATTGGAAGATGCTATCCTGTCTCCCCTGGTCCTTCTCTTCACTAGACTAGCCATGCCCAGTTCCTGCAACCGTTCTTCGTATGTTTTAGCCTCCAGTCCCTTAATCATCCTGGTTGCTCTTCTCTGCACTCTTTCCAGAGCCTCAACATCTTTTTTATAGTGTGGTGACCAAAACTGGATGCAGGACTCTAGGTGTGGTCTTACTAAGGCTTTGTAGAGTGGTATTAGTCTCTCCCTCGATCTAGATTGTATCCCTCCGTTAATGCAGCCTAGAACTGTGTTGGCTTTTTTGGCTGCCACCGCAACACTGCTGGCTCCTATTTAGCTGGTTGTCCACTAAGACTCCGAGATCCTTCTCCCAGTGACTGCCATTAAGCCTAGTTTCTCCCAATCTTTGACTCTCTTCCTTCAGAGTCATTAAAGGAGTTAAGCACCCTCACAGAGTCTGTTTATCAACTTTTCATTCTTGGAAAACCCTTTGGGACTCTGGAAGGCTTTTGACTGTTCAAAAGTCTCAAAGCTTTTCTTGGTTTTTTTAACCAACTTTTAAATTTCGAAAGAAGATTACGCTAAATAAAATCACATCAGTCCACGGTCTACTACGCAATCCTAACAGAAGTTCATCTATTACAGGGGTCTCCAATCTTGGCAACTTTAAAACTTGTGGACTTCAACTCCCGGAATTCCTCAGCCAGCAAAGCTGTCTGAGGAATTCCGGGAGTTGAAGTCCACAAGTCTTAAAGTTGCCAAGATTGGAGACCCCTGATCTATTTCAATGATGAGAAACTCACACAGGGGTTTTGTCTAATATTCTTGAGACCATCAAGACTCTTTCTCTTCTCTTCCCTACAGCACCCTGCCCAGCCTTGATGCCCCCTACCCCATGCTGGTGTTGACCGGACCTCTGGCCTGCTGGAAGCGAGAACTGTGTCACAGGCTTTGCCGGAAGTTCAACAACTATTTCAGATACAGGTGCGAGTCCTACACATTTGGGAACCTTTGGGGAGTTGGTGGAGGCAGATGTCCTCAAAGAAGGTGGGGGGGTATGCTGCAGTCTTTTCTAATGAATCTAGTTCTCTGTCCCGTCCCCCCCCCATTGCCCACCATGTTGGGTTAAAAGAGGAAATATGGGGTCCTTGGTGCTCTCTGAGCTTGGTGGCTTCCTTATAGACATTTCATGACCCAACTAGGTAACGTCATCAGTGTTAGAAGGGAGGGGAGGGGAAGGAGGACTGTGAGGTCCTTGGTGTTCTGACATCCCCAAGCCAGGCCAATATCTTCAAAACCTGGCAAGGAGTCACGGAGAGCCATGAACCAATTAAGCGAACTAATTGTCTCCTGCAAACTCCACTCCTCTTTTGCTCCTCTTTTATTCCCTCTGGGAGGGGCCTTTCATCGTCCACCTGTGGCCTTACTCCCAAGTCGACCCTTGTTCTTTAGCTGTTCCCTTCCAGATGGAACCAACGGAACTCCTTGCCTCCAGAAGTCATGGGTGTTCCAACACCAGAGGTTTTCAAGAAGAGATTGGACAACTCTGTGTCTGAAACGGTGTAGGGTTTCCTGCCTGAGCAGGGGGTTGGACTAGAAGACCTCTAAGGTCCCTTCCCAATCTTGTTATTCCGTTCCTCAGTTCAACTCCGAATGGGACCTCAACCTCCCTCATTCCCCCGTTAACAGTTCCTTTTCTTTCTGCTTTGCTTCCTCCTCAGCCCCTGTCATACCACCAGGAGCCCTTATTTCGGAGAAGAGAACCGATTAGATTACTATTACGTATCTCAGGAGGAATTTGACAAGATGGTGAACACGGTAAGGAGGGAATCCGGTCCTTTTGGGAAGTAACCAAAGGAAGGTGTCAGCAGAGCCATCCTAGCTCACGCTCAGGACGGACAGAAGGAAGAGGCATTTGGGCCTACAGAGGTCGGAGAAGCCTAGAAAGTCGGCTCTCTCGCGCACACGTCCTTCCGTCGCCTGCGTGGTCGTAACGTTGGTAACGCTTGGAGGATTCGAACAGGGGCCTTGTAAATTTCAGCTGATGGGAAAGTTTGGTGCCATAAAACTGATGGAAGAGAATAGGACAGGAAATGGACGACGGGCCCCTCTGAGCTTGGGGGTTTTCTTGCGCATGTTTTATGACATGATTAGGTAACATCATCAGTGCTAGAAGGGACTGAGCAAACCCTACTCCCCTCTAGCACTGATGAGGTTACCTAATTCGGTCCTGAAACGTCTACAAGAAAACCACCAAGCTCAGAGAACACCAAGGACTGCACAAGAGGAGCCTGGATAGCCTGGATAGCTCAACAGAACGAGCTCTGTAATTTAACATCAGCTGCCTGCAATTACTGTAAGTTCGAATCTCGCCAGGCTCAAGGTTGACTCAGCCTTCCATCCTTTCTAAGGTAGGTAAATTGAGGACCCAGTTTGTGGGGGCAATAAGCTGACTTTGTATAAATATACAAAAGTATGAAGACTATTGCTTAGCACATTGTAAGCCGCCTTGAGTCTCCGGAGAAGGGCGGCATATAAATCAACTTTTTTTTTAAAAAAAAAAAGGCACAATAAGTAGAAAATATCAAAACTACAATGTGCTAGAATCCAGGCAGGGCTCATTCTCAATGCTCGTCCTTTGTTGTTTGCTTCACCTGGGCTTCCATTTTTGTTTTGTTTTTTTTTCTTCTCATTTCAGGGGAAATTCATAGTCACTTTCAAATATAGCGGCTTCTACTACGGGCTGAGCCGAGAGATCATCGAAAGCATCGCTAGGGAAGGGCTGGCAACCTGCGTGCATTTAGATATAGAGGTAGGAAGCCCCCCTGGCTGCAGAAGCATTTCCAGGGCTGCGAGGTTTACGCGCTTGGGTTTAAACTGTGGTCTGATCCCATGGAAGCAGGACGGTCTGGAGAAGAATCCAGAGAACGGAGAGGCGGAAGGTAAGAACCCTGTGGGGGAGAGAGGGAAGAGGGGCCAGAAGAGTCTGCAAACTCCCGTGAACCCATCTTAAAGCAGTGTTTCTCAATCTTAGCAACTTTGACATAGGTGGACTTCAACTCCCAGAATTCCTCAGGCAGCACGTTTTAAGATGTATGGACTTCAGGTCCCAGAATTCCCCAGTCAAGCATGCTTTGAGATGGGTGGACTTTAATTCCCAGAATTCCCCAGCCAACATTAAAGTGTGTGGACTTCAACTCCCCGAATGCTGGGTGGAGAATTCTGGGAGTCGAAGTCTTCAAAGATTGGAAAACACTGTCTAAAGAAAATGGCTTACTGAGATTTATAGGCTTCTTAAGATGGCTGACCCACAGTTTGGAGAACCCAAATCAAGCACTCTTCCTTTTGGGGGAGTGGGGACATCTTATGGCTGTCTGCATTGAATTGGTCCTTGGAATTATTTAATAACTGAAGGTCCCCCCAACAGTTAAAACTTCTCTCTCTCTCTCTCTCTCTCAAAGGGTGTCAGAAGTTTAAAGAATTCCTACTTCGTGCCACGATATATCCTACTGATTCCAGTGAACAAAGAGAAATATGGGGGTCACCTCCGGAGGATGGGGTTGTTCAGCAGACCGGAGATCGAGGAAGCTCTCCGCCGGGTGGACATGTACACCCGAGTGAATCAGGATTTCCCAGGCTTCTTCGATGCCGTCATCAATGTAGGTCAGTCTGTGACTGTAGAAAGTAGGTTTAAACCTAACCCTAACCAGAAGGAGGATCACAAGGAAAGATCCATTTGAAGCAAATGCAAGGGGACCTCGGATTGCACAGTTAACAGGCCCATAACCACCTAACAGTCTCTACTGTGGCTGTTGGATAACTTGAAGAGGGGTGGACCTCAACTCCCAGAATTCCCCAGCCAGCATGTTTTAAGATGGGTGAACTTCCACTCCCAGAATTCCCCAGCCAGCATGCTTTAAGATGGGTGGACTTCAATTCCCAGAATTCCCCAGCCAGCATTCCTGGGAGTTGAAGTCCCCCTATGCCATTTGCCAAGCACCCATGACTATAGGGATGCTATGATCATCAAAAGTACAAAAACTAGCCGTAAGTCGTAAGTCATTTTTTTCAATGCCATTGTAACCCTGAACAGTCACTAAACAAGTGGTCGTACGTTGAGGCCTCCTTAGATGCATTACGAGAATGATCTAGGCTGCTAGCGGCTGCAGCTCCTCCCAGCCTTGACCAAAGCTCTTCTCTTCTTCTCCCAAAAAAACCCCCTCCAGATGATTACGATGAAGCCTTCTCCAAACTTAGTGGTCTTCTGGAAGAGTTCCTGGGGCTGGTGCAGCCTTCTGAATCCAAAGCCACAGTTCCTGCAGCGGACGGCAAGCACCTTTCAGGTATTAAACACGGCTGACTCCACGGCTGGAAAGCACCGTGAAGCGGTATGTAAGTCTAAGGTTTATTGCTAAAAAAGAAAAACCACCTTTCTAGCAAGCAAAAAAGTTTTTTAAAAAATACCTGGGCTTCCCCATCCACCATAAACCATCAGATGTCCCTCGAAGAGGCTCTTAAGAGCCGCTAATTGTCTCGCTGTCCGTCACTTTGCATTTCATCGCCAATTAAAAGCACCCAGTCTGGCCCATTCCGCCGTCCGTTAAAAAAATGTAACTTCAAAATCCCCCACGCTTCATTAAATTCATTTACAGCATCGTTTCGAGGGGTTTCAAATCAATGTAATGACCCTATTCCAGAGAAGATTGCCCTCTTCCCCGTATGGCGGAGGCAGGAACAGTTCTGTCAAGTTTCGATGTCGTCTCAAATAAAATAAATTGCATTTCCAAACAAATAGTCTTTGATGAAATCTTTCATTTATTAAGCACGACAATCTGTTCCCGGCTACGTCGTAGCCAACACTGACTTCCTGACCCCAAACCTTCCCTTTCCGTTCCCCAATTCTCTGCGTCTCATTGGCCATCTTCCAAATCACTCTCCCCATATCTACTACTTCAGCTCCCAGGAATGTCCCCCCTCCCATCCCATCTCCTAGGGGATATTATCTTCAGGGAAAATAAGTAGGTGAAAAGTCAAGCGTCCTCTTGCCAGCTGCCCCCTCTTCTCCTTCTTATGTCAGCACCGGAACGAATGTAGTTTGGAGTGCTGACACAGTTCATTTCTTTATTAAAACCTTGCCTGGAGGTTGGCTCTTTAATATGAACGTTTGCATTAAGATGGTGAAACGGGGAAGGGACACGAACGGTTGGATAGAATGGAGAGCTACTAACATCTTTCCTAGGACATAGGGCTGTGATGGTGAAGTTATGGCATGCGTTGCCACAGCTGGCACGCAGAGCCCACTACATATGCGCGCGCATGCCTCCCGCTGGCCAGCTGATTTTTGGGATGCACAGGGAGATGCGGGCGCATGCACAGGGGGGCAGAGGGAGTGGCACCCCCCCTACAGCCTGTTTTTGGGCCCAGGAGGCTGCAGGGAGGCCTACTAGGCCCAAAATGGCGTGGGGAGGTTGCGTGCACATCCACAGGGGGGTGAGGGGAGCATGGGGGAGTTGTTACACCCCCCAAACAGCCGTAAAACAGCCTGAAAAAACAGCCAAAAAACAAGCATGTGCGTGCCGGCCAGCTGGTCTTCGGTGCTCCGGCATACGCATGCACGTACCCATTTGGGCACTTGGTGCCGAAAAGGTTCGCCATTCACCGCCCTATCCCATGTCAGAAAATAGCTGCCCAATCTCTTCTTGAAACCCTCCGGTGATGGATCAGCCACAGTTTCTGAAGGCAGAGCCGTTCCACCAATTATCTGCTCTTTGTTTTTAGCTCCCAGCAAGGAGTCGACTGCAGCTCTGAAGGTAAGCAACGTCAGAGGGACCGATGGTGTCGCCCCCTCACCGACTCCCAATGAATTTCTGGATTCCTCAGCCAAAAATTACTCCGCCAAAATATCAGCCCAACTTTCAGCGCAGAAGACCCTGGTGGTAAGTAAAAGAGACCAGAACCGGTTTTGAGCTATTAAGTCATGTTAATCCGAATTGGACGCTTGCAGGCAACCTAGGCGTTGAAGTCCAGGTGGATTTCCAAGAATGTCCCAAAGGTGCTTTTCCCAAAAGGCAACTGGACATTCTTGGCTGTTGTAAAAAGAAAGTTTTTTTGTCAGAATTGCCCTCCTACGTTTGAGCTTCGCAATTGCTAACTGCCAGTCTGCCCATGAACCATGGGTGAAGGGAGCCAGCTGGGAGTGGGGAAGGCTGACAACCTATCCTACTTTTCAGAGACACCATCCCAAGGCCAAAGCGCTGGGAATGGAACACAACGGCTGACCACTCAGTCAATTTTATTCAAATATGATTAGACAACAAGGTACCAGCAATGGGGAGGAGGTACTGGGGAGGAACAAGGTGGGAAAAGTTCGCCGGCAAAGTTTGGCATGCGAACTTCAGTTCTGACTTTGCTGTACTGTAAACCACTTGACTTTTAGTAAAGCCTACCTTTTCGCTAAAAATGGGAGTTGAGGGTCTTTCTTTCCTAAAGGACCAAGTCGTGGCAGATCTGACACATTTAGCTTCTCACCCAAGAAGCTTCTGTGGGAGATGACCAGGCTGAGCCCGAGGGAGGGGTCAAACGCATCGTAAGTTTTGAGTCCCTTCCCACCCATGAGAGATTTAGGTCCATCCCACCTTGAATGCCTTCTTTATCTCCCGCTCGTTTCCCTTGACTGTTAGTAGTTCAGGTTCTTGTAGAGAGTTTAAGCTAGCAAGAAATCTCTAGACTCGTTTGAACTGCCCGAATCTCCTGATTTCCCCGGCGCTTGGCAGCTTCTTCAGTTCAGTTCAGGAGATTTATTTTCTTCCCCTGCCCATCGTGAGGAGGCCCTTTCCTTTGATCCCAGGCTACTGGGGAAGAATGTCAACATGAGTAGATCCTCAAGGTCTCCCGTTCACGGATACCTAGTCACAGGAAAGGATTCCTTGGTTTGACTTGGAGCAAGGCCAGGAAGTCTTCCCATCATGGATCCATTTATGGTCCTCCACGGGGGGGAAAAACATACTCAACGGAGAAGTTCCCTGCTTTGTATCCAGAAGATCCCAACATCTTTTGGAAGAGAGGAGTCCAGAAAGAGTGATTGACAGTTTCTCTGTGTATATTTTAAGCAACCTGGTCCCCCCAAAATCAGGAGAAACTCAGTAGCACCTTATCTGACTACCTTTGATTCCAGCATAAGTGAAATTGATGCCTTGCAAGAAAATTAATAGCTGAAAAAGAGGGGGCCACCAGACATTTTCTGATGGTTTGCTCCACAGACTAACTCTTTGGGGTTTCTCCTCCAGTAAATTTTTCAACCAACCCTTAGGAGAAGTTTGGCTTTGGCTAGTCTAGAGAAAAGAAGAACTAGGGGGGACATCATAACTGTCTTCCAATATTTGAGGGGCTGCCCCAAAGAAGAGGGAGTCAAGCTATTCTCCAAAGCACCTGAGGGCAGGACAAGAAGCAACAGATGGAAACTAATCAAGGAGAGAAGCAACCTGGAATTAAGGAGAAACTTCCTAACAGTGAGGACAACTAACCAGTAGAACTGCTTGCCACCAGAAGTTGTGGGTGCTTCATCCCTGGAGGCTTTTACGAAGAGACTGGACAGTCCCTTGTCTGAAATGGTACGGAGTCTCCTGCTTGAACAGGGGGCTGGACTAAAAGACCTCCATAGTCCCTTCCAGCTCTATTCTGATCGAGAAGCAAGAGGAGAAACCTCACCCAAAGCCAGATGGCGATGGTGGGAGAACGTTCTAGAGTGACGGTGTCATAATGGGGAATTTCATCCCTGGAGGTCTCCGTGCTCGGATGGTCAGGGCCCATCCTCCCATCTCTAAAGGTGCCCCTCCAGATGGAGAAAAGGAGTCGGAAACCAATCCGTTATCCCCCGGTCAGCAAAAGGCTTTCGTTTTGGAGAGAGGTAGGTGGCCCACCTCAGTTTCTCCCATTGGATCCCGGCCTTCAAGAAGGAGGCAGCAGACACCTCTTAGATCTCCACGTCCAGGAGAAAGTTTAGAGGCCTAGGTTGGTTGGACAGGTTTGAGGAAAAACAAGAGAACTGAACAGTGAGTACCAGTAATACCACTTTACAAGGCCTTGGGAAGGCCACACTTGGAATATTGCATCCAGCTTTGGACGTCACGATGTAAAAAAAGATGTGGAGACTCTGGAAAGAGTGCAGAGAAGAGCAACAAAGATGATTAGGGGGCTGGAGGCTAAAACATTTGAAGAACGGTTGCAGGAACTGGGTATGTCTAGTTTAATGAAAAGAAGGACTAGGGGAGACATGATAGCAATCTTCTAATATCTCAGGGGCTGCCACAAAGAGGAAGGGGTCAAGCTATTCTCCAAAGTACCAGAAGGCAGGACAAGAAGCAACAGATGGAAACTAATCAAAGAGAGAAGCAATTTAGAACTAAGGAGGAATTTCCTGACAATTAGAATGCCAAATATTTGCAAGCCATTGGCACATGTGTCATATAGACACCAGTGGAGGCAGAGAGTATCTCCACCCCTATGTGGAAAGGAGGGGCTTAGGGCCTGAGTATAAAACCCCCTCCAACCTTTTTCCACCTTGCTCTCTCCATCTCTCTCTTTTATTTATTTATTTTATTTTTATTTATATGCCGCCCTTCTCCAGAGACTCAGGGCGGCTTACAAAGCGTTAAGTAAGAGCCTTCATACTTTCATATATTTTATACAAAGTCAGCTTATTGCCCCCACAAACTGGGTCCTCAATTTACCTACCTTAGAAAGGATGGAAGGCTGAGTCAACCTTGAGCCTGGCGAGATTCGAACTTGCAGTAATTGCAGGCAGCTGGAAGCTAAATACTACCTTTAACAGTAGCATTAGTCTGCTGCGCCACTCAGGCTCTTTTCATGTTTGTTCCTCATGAGACTTGATCTCTGTGGTACATAGTTAATATGATTTATCATATGAATAAATACGTTTAAGACATTTATTCATGCATCTGCCTCTGAACTCTTCTATGCTCCTGGCTGTTTCTACGAGCCCAATTCCACATAGAACAATTAATCAGTGGAACAGCTTGCCACCAGAAGTTGTGGGTGGTCCAACCCTGGAGGTTTTTAAGAAGAGATTGGACAGCCATTTGTCTGAAATAGTATAGGGCTTCCTGCCTGAGCAGGGGGTTGGACTAGAGGACCTCCAGAGCCCCTTCCAACTCTGTTATTCTGTTTCCAAGAAGGAAATGCAGTCAACCATTGCACCTAAGGTGCATTGAATTTCTGCTAAGGTAGAGTAGACAGTACCAGCTCAAAACTGGTCAACTATGTTTATACTTGGCCTCGTATACTTATTGAGTTATTGTCCGAGTGAAATTTAGTGGTGAGGGGTAGGGAAATGTATGTTGCCCACAGTTCCTCGAAGAAGGAATACTTTTATCCTGGATAATTGTTCACCATCTGGGATTCTTCAGCTCCTGGTTTTCTCCAGAGCTTTACCTATAAATTGAAGATGGTTAGGACAGCATGGCCTAGTGCCAGGTTTCTAAATCTTGGCAACTTTCAGAGGGGGGGACTTCAGTTCCCAGAATTCCCCAGCCAGCATGCTTTAGGATGATAGACTTCAACTCCCAGAATTCCCTAGCTATCAATCTTTAGGATGGGGGGGGGGGGAAATCTGGGAGCCTGGATAGCTCTGCAGACTAAAGCACTGTAATTTAACACCAGCTGTCTGCAATTAAAGTAAGTTCGAATCTCCCCAGGCTCAAGGTTGACTCAGCCTTCCATCCTTTCTAAGGCAGGTGAAATGAGGACCCAGATTGTGGGGGCAATAAGCTGACTTTGTATAAAACATACAAAAGAATGAAGGCTATTGCTTAACGCATTGTAAGCCGCCCTGAGTCTCCGGAGAAGGGCGGCATATAAATCAAATTTAAAAAAAAAAAAAACTCCATGTTCAGAATCCTGGAAGTCCACCCATCTTAAAGTGTGCAAGATCGGGAAAGACTCCCCTACTGGTCACAGAAATTGGGTTATCTTAGGGCTCAAGCTCCACGTTCACCTCCAACCAACGAAGCCAGGCAGATACCTTCACGTGGGATTGTTTGAAGAAATCCCATGAACTTTCCACCCAGACCATTCAGCCAAGACGGGGTCCTTTCTTCCATGGGTTCCTTCTTCCCAACCCTCACCTGCCATTGGTGTGTCTACCTGACCACCAATGGCTGCCCCCCCCCCAGGGGGGGACAAGTGACCTCATGGGTGCCCTAACATCCCCAAGGTTAACTGGTTGCAGAACCTGCTGTATGTCCCCCAGATCATGACTTGTGCCCAAACCTTGTGCTGATCCCCCCCCCACCCCCACACTAAGAGGGCTGATTGTGTCCCATCTCCAGGAAGAGGCGTCGCTCCAGCGAAGGCAGCGTCTGGCCAAGCAGGGCCTGATGGGCAAAACCATCTCCTCCTACTCCCAGCTGTTCGAGAGGTAAAAATGGACACCCCCGCCCCTCCCTAAAAGATGGAGGAGGGAATGGTTTGTGCCAAAGAAGGGAGGGGGGAAGAAATCAGGAAGCAAAATACATGGGCTTACTACCAGTGGTGGGATTCAGATAATTTAACAACCGGTTCTCTGCCCTAATGACCGGCTGGGTGGGCGTGGCCATGGTGGGCGTGGCCAGGAGGTGTGACAGGCGGCACTTGGCCACCTGCACCCCCTGGGAGCAAAAACGGGCCACACACCCCGTGCCCCGTTTTGGACCTAGGAGGCCTCCCTGCACTTACCTGGGAGCCAAAATGGGGCGTGTGGGGACTCCTGGAAGGGGCGGGGAGGGGAGGGGTGGAGCCAGCCAGCCATTTAACTACCGATTCACCCAAACCGGCTGAATCCCACCACTGCTTATTACGCTGAATGTTAATTATCACTGTTAGGAGGAATTTCCTGACAGTGAGAACAATTAACCAGTGGAACGACTTGCCTCCAGAAATTGTGGGTGTTTCATCACTGGAGGTTTTTAAGACGAGATTGGACAGCCATTTGTCTGAAATGGGTCTAGGGTCTCCTCCTTGAGCAGAGGGTTGGACTTGTTGGAAGTAAAAAATCAGGTCCGGTCCCAAACTGGGAGAAAGACGCTGAAATAAAATGGTGGCAAGCTGCATTTTGGAACGGAGGGAGGTCTCCAAAATGTTTATTTGGTAACCAGAAACTACAGCGACAGCAGCCTGCTTCCAGGGTGGCTGACAAAACGGGGTTGAGAGTCGGTGGGCTTTCATACGTTGTTTGGGGCTCTGGGATCGAGATGCCTGTTCCTGTGCAATAATGCCTCCTTTTAATATTTTCATGGCTGTTGCCAGATTCTTATGGGGTCATGTAGGGGGGGTCATGGCTGGCTCTACAGGCAAAAGGGGGAAATGCAAATCCTGGATGTTTTGTTTGTCTGGGCTAATCTTGTCAGTTTCGGCTCCTTGCCTGTAAGCTGCTTATTGTGAGTTTCTGGCTGCCCTTTGTTTATGACTAGAGTGGCCTGGCTGTACAAAGCATCCATTCACCAAGCGCAGCCTCTTCCGGCTTCTGCTTGTGGCTGTTTTCCTACAGCAGGAAGACCAGGTTTGCTTTCTGCCTTTAAAACGATGTTTCTCGTCTTCTCCTTTAGGGGAAATATTCGATCCGGCCTCTTTTTAATATTAAGAATAAAGAAAATTTTATTCTGGGGGAGGGGAAGGGAGGGGCTTTCCTACAGACTAGAAGACCTCCAAGGTCCTTCCCGATTCTTATTATTTTGGAGAGCAGGCAGTTCGGCATAAAAGAGCACCCACCCGCCCGTCCCCCGACTGCTGCCAAGGACATCTGTAACTCCAGGAAGGGGCGTCTTGGGTGCATGGGTGAACACGTCAAAATCTGTCAGATGGCGACGGTGACACCACAGTTGACATCTTGTGGATTTTGACACCTGCCCCCCCCCCCAAGCAAATTCCCTCCCCTTCACCCAACACTTTGCAAGCAACCAGCTCTTTTTTTCCCCACTTACAACTCTGTCACCGTCAATTCCACAAACTCCTATATCATCTGTCTCTCTCTCTGTTTGTCTCTGTCTGTCTGTCTCTCTCTCTCTCTCTCTCTCCATGTGTGTGTGAGTGTCTCTCTCTGTGTGTCTGTCTGCCTGTCTCTCTCTCTCTCTCTCTGTGTCTGTCTCTCTGTGTGTGTGGCTTTCTGTCTCTGTCTCCATGTGTGTGTCTCTCTGTCTCTGTGTGTCTCTGTCTCTCTCTGTCTCTTTCTCTCTGTGTGTGTCTGTCTGTCTGTCTCTGTCTCTTTCTCTGTGTGTGTGTGTGTGTCTGTCTGTCTCTGTCTTTGTCTGTCTGTCTCCGTGTGTGTGTCTCTCTCTCGCTTTGTCTGTCTCTCTCTCTGTCTGTGTGTGTGTGTGTGTCTGTCTTTCTCTCTCTCCCTGTGTGTGTCTCTCTGTGTCTCTGTCTGTGTGTGTGTCTGTCTCTCTGTGTCTCTCACTTGCTCGCTGTCTCTGTCTCTGTGTCTCTGTCTCTCTCTGTGTGTGTCTGTGTCTGTCTCTCTGTCTCTGTGTGTGTGTGTCTGTCTCTGTCTCTCTCTCTCTCTGTGTGTGTCTCTGTCTGTCGGTCTGTCTCTCCCCATGTGTGTCTCTGTGTCTCTCTCTCTCTGTCTCTGGCTGTGTGTGTCTATCTATCTCTGTCTCTATCTTTCTGTCTGTGTGTGTGTCTCGGTCTCTCTCTCTCTGTCTCTGTTTTTCTCTGTCTGTCTGTCTCTCTCTGTCTGTGTGTCTCTGTCTCTCTCCCCACCTTCTCATTTTTTCAAATGCTATAAAAACAGTTTTTGATTTTCCAAGTCCTGGGTTTGAGGATGGTGTTAGATCTGCTCACGTTATTATTGCCATATGGATGGGGGGGGGGGTATTTCTTTTCTTTTCTTTTTTTAACCCTCAATGACCAGGGCGGGAGGGTGGAAGATCAAGCTTAAGAAATATTACAGATGCAACTAAAAAAAAGAATATATTTTTTTTCTAACAAAACAAAAGGCTGGATTTTGTCCGGTCTTTTTGCATTGGGAAAAACTCACGGATGCTTGCTTGCTTCTTGTCTGTTTCTTTTGGTTTGTTTGATAAATACCCCACCTTTATTTTTATAAACAAGGAGGTGAACATTCCTAATCCTCCTCCCTCCTCCTATTTTACTCGCAACAACAACTCCATGAGGTGGTTTGGGCTGAGAGGGGGAATCTTAGCCACTTTCAGACTTCTGGACTTCAACTCCCAGAATTCCCCAGCCGGCCATGCTACGTGAGGAATTCTGGGAGTTGAAGTCCACACACGCATTTCAGGTTGCCAAAGCTGAAAAAAATACAGATTTAAGAATATCCAATATCTCGGCCGTTTTAAGATGCGTGGACTAGAACTCCCAGAATTCCTGGGAGCTGGAAGCCCACACATTTTAAGATTTAGGAAGACGATGACAGCAGAACCTTCTGGCTATTAACAAAACGACAAAACGTGTCGCCCCCACACAACCCAGTGAGCTAAAACAGTGGGACTCAGCAGCGCCGTGCAACACAACAGGCCAGACGTATTTGGTCCTTAACCGGGGTCCTTGGCGCTTGCTCGCAGGTCCTCACGCGTGTCACAAATCCCAAAAGTGGCTTAAGACAAACCAGGGTTAGGCAGGGTGGCGAATGCAACCTCGACTGGAATCAATCCACCCCATGTCACTACCCTCCATTTTTGAACAATCCATTCTATTCTATTCTATTCTTCATTTCAAATTCTATTCTACTCTACTCTACTCTACTCTACTCTACTCTACTCTACTCTACTCTACTCTACTCTACTCTACTCTACTCTACTCTACTCTACTCTACTCCTCTGGATTTGAGACATAGTAGAGACTCACAGCCAGCCCTGGACACCCTCCCAGCCGCACCTGCCTTTTGTCTTTGGGAACCGCAGACTTCCTCCAGGCACGCCAGTTTCCCAGGTGTGAGCACAGGTGCGCTCGGCCTGCACAAGCCCGTCACACCGCTGGAGCCTGAGCAGGCTGCAACATCGCTTTTTTAAAAAAACTATTCTCACAATATCATCGATGATGCCTGTTTTCAGAGCACGGGGATCTAATGGGTTTAATTTGGGGTGGGGGATGCTCTCCTGAGAATTAGAATCTGGACCACAGGTGGTCCTCGACTTATGACCACAGTTCAGCCCAAGTATTTCTGTTGCTAAGCAAGGCAATTAAGTGAATCCATTCTCTCGATCTGTTCTGTTCTGTTCTACTATTCTATTCTATTCTATTCTATTCTATTCTATTCTATTCTATTCTTCATTCCAATATTTAAACTATTCTATTCTATTCTTCATTCCAATATCTAAACTATTCTATTCTATTCTATTCTATTCTATTCTATTCTATTCTTCTATTCTCTTCTATTATATATTCTCTATTATATTATATATTCTCAATATATTCTCTATTTCTATTCTATTACTATTATTCTATTCTATTCATCATCTCTCATTCTAGTCTAGGTCTTATTTTGGGGGTAGGTCCTATTTTCGGGAAAACACAGTAGATCTAGATAGATGGATGGATGGATGGATGGATGGATGGATGGATAGAGAGAGATGATGGATAGATGATAGATAGATAGATAGATAGATAGATAGATAGATAGATAGATAGATGAGAGATAAGATGAGAGAGAGAGGGATGGATGGATAGATGGATGGATGGTGGCAGGCTCCACCAGAAGGAAAAGCCATTTAGAAATAAAATTTGCACAACCAGAAAACGAAAAAAGCGAGCTCAGAGCTGCAAGAATGAGGCGGACTCCGTAGAACCAACGGTCACTCTTTCCGATCCATTCCAGGGATGCCCTCCGCGTTTCAGGCCTCACCAGCATGCATAGGCAGTTTTTGGAGCCCCCGTCTTTCACCTCCATGGGGTCCTTCAGACGCGGCACGAGCACCAGTACCTCCATCCTACCCACCACCCCTGACCCCAGGTGAGTAGAGACGTGACTCCTTCCGGGGACCTTCTCCAGAACCTCCAGTTTTTCTGATTAGACTTCCCCGACCTAGAGCCCTAAAGATACCTCAAGACTACAAGGCCTATGATCCCCCGTCAAGGAATGCATGCCCCCATCGCTCTTATCAGGGAGACAGACAGCCCACCCCGACAACCAATCGTGCAACAGATTAAGGGCATCCATGACTCCGCAATCTAGAAATTGGTGAGCCTGAAAAACCTTGGCGCCATCCAAGTGGCAAGAGTAGATCATCTCCATGGCCCATGGCTGATGTGTCAGGGCTTATGATCAGACCTCCTGAACCTGGAGCCCTACAGTACAATGCACTACAAGACCCATGATCCCCAAGCAAGGAATGCCCCCATCTCTCTTATCAGGAAGACATCATGCCCAGGAAGGCCTCCCAAATGCGCAGAGAACTGGTGGAGCCCACATGATGTGGGGGTCGTAGCTTAGCGTTCGTTGGGCATTGACCTCCTCCTCACCCTTTCCTTCCCTCAACAGCAAGGAATCAGGTCAACCAGCCAAAAAGTCCCTCACCGATTCAGGAGCACCCCTTTCTCCCAGCACATCTGCCAGCCGCACCTCCAGGTCCGTCCCCACGCCTGTGGCGGAAGGCGCCGATGAAAAAAGCCGACAAGGTAAGCGCCTATTCAAAGCTTTGAATAAATAGGCATCAGGAAGGAGGGAGGGAGGGAAGAAAGGAAAAGGAAGGAAGGAAAGAAGGAAAAGGGAAGGACAGAAGAAAAGAAAAAGAGGAAAGAGGAGGGAGGGAAGGAAGGAAGAAAAAGGAGAAGGAAGAGAAGGGAGAGAAAGAAGGAAGGTAGGAAGAAAAGGAAAGAAGGAGAGGGAAGGAAGGCAGGAGAAAAAGGAAAGGAGGAAGGGTAGGGAGGAAGAAAAAGGAAAGGAGGGAGGGAAGGAAGGCAGGAAGAAAAAAAAACGAGGGAGAAAGGAAGGAAGAAAAAGGAAAGGGAAGGAAGGAAGAAAGAGTAAAGAGAAGGGAGGGAAGGAAGGAAGGAAGGAAGGAAGGAAGGAAGGAAGGAAGGAAGGAAGGAAAAAAGGAAGGAAAAAGGAAGGAAAAAAGGAAGGAAAAGGAAAAACAGGAAAGGGAAGGAAGGAGAGAGAAAAAGTCACATCATGGTCACTTTCTCCAAACAGACCCTCGATTCCTTTGTTCTCTTTCAGAGGCCGACCGTCCCGCGGACAGCAAGGAAAAGAAGACCCCCAAGCACAAAACCCCCTCCCCACACGTCCCTCCCATGGTCACCGTCCGTCCAGGATCCAACACCAAGCCAGTCCTTCCTCCTATCCCATCCGGTCGCAAGAAGCCCAAAGCGGCCCCCGCAGACAGCTACGCCTCGGTCGTGTGGCTGAAGCCGTAGCCTTGGCACACCGGTGCCCATCTCCCCCCCCAGCAACGCCTTTGACTCCCGAGTAGCACTTATGGGCCCCGACTCATAAGATGGAAAACCCGCTTGGACCAGCCGACCCGGCATAAGAAAACATCTCATGTTTTAAAGACTTTTAAAAGACTTGTTTGGTGACACAATGTAAATTCCGCATTTATTTCTGGTGGCTCCCTGGTGGTCTTTGCGAGTTTATATATATAAATATATATATATATATAGCTCTTGGACCACCTGACAGATTTTTCTTGGGTAAAAAGGAGAGATTTAGCAGATTATAATGTTATTTAGAACAATATTTCTATTTTCCCCTGCCATAATGTAAGAAACCTGTTGGTCCGTATATCAAATGAGTGCCTTACTGTACAATTTCAAACATTCCTCATCTATTTAGCTCCTTTTAAATAAAGATTTATTTTCCTGTGTGATGTTGGGGTCGGTTTTTTTTTTTTTATTTATTTCAATCAGGGGCCAACATTGTTCTGTCCACTGAATGAACAAAATGTGTGTGTGTGTGTTTGTTCCAGCATAACTCTGGAACGCCTTGAGCAATTTCAACCAAACATGGTACACAGATGACTTACTCTCTGGAAAGAAATACTATGGGGCTAAGACACCCCAACACACCTTGCGGTGTGTATTCTGTTAAGCTACAGCCTGTTGTGCCTTAACATGGCTTCTACTGGACTGCCTTAAAATGGCTTCTACTGTACAGCAGTCATGGTAATGGCTTCACAGTACTCCACAAGGGGGCTCTCTCTGGTAAGAGGGAAGATCCAACATTAGAAATTACGTTTGGCCCAGACATTTTCCACAAGGCTTCGATGAGCAATAAAACATTACTGCAACTCGGTCTGCCTGCACCACTACGAGATCAACACAACGTACTTCACGCAGATTACATACGAGAAAAGAACAACAATGTCAAGCTCGCGGATGAGACGCCACTTCTAAATCAAGATCAGAAAAAAACATACCAAATGATCATGGATCAGTTAGGTTCTGGAGGCACAGGGAAAAAACATTTTTAACTAATTTTATTCTCGCTGAAATCAGGGCTCAGGGTGAAGTTGCTCTTCCTGTCTAATAAAGGATTGGGATAAATAAATACTCGGGCAACGCCGGATTATCAGCTGGTTTCATATAAAAATAAACTAAACCGAGCATTAAGGAATTCTGGGAGTTGAAGTCCACAGAGGGAAAAAAATAGATCAGGAAATCTGTATTTCACAAACATTCTTTATTGAATAAATTCTATTTTCAGCCAGGATCCACACAGGGTATTTTTTTTAAGAGACACCCATACTACAATCTCTCTACGCCTTGCAAAAGTTTCTCTTTTCAAACCTAAGAGCTTCAAGGGATGAATTAAAACTTATCTTCTTGCTCAAAACATCAGCTGTATACTCAATGAAGTTTATGGCGAAAGAATCCTATCCAAACCTGACTCCCGGTGTGTGTGCGAGGATGAGGTATCGTGTCGACAGAAAATACCAGAATTACCATTAAATATGAGAATGATTGTGTTCACGAGACGAACCAGATTTTTGATGTTCACGACGAAATGGGTTTCCGGGCTTATTTTTCCTGCAAAAAACAGATTACGTCCACGTTGGTTGACTAGCTAATACAATGTGGGTTTATTTGTAGAGGAGCCAAAACACCGTTCAAGAACGCCTCTCTTCAGTGTTGCCTTCAAGCAACGGAGGAAGAAAGGAACAAAACCACTTGCACATTTTGCAGCTGCTAAACCAAGCCTGCATTTGACCAACTAACTTAGATAGGAAACCATCTTTGGCCAACGAAGAAGAGGTCTTGCAAAACCCACAACAGGCTTAACCGAGTTACGTCAATTAACCTCTTTTCTGGCTTGGCACCAAGTGTTCAACTCAAAAGTTGGCTTTTCACAAAACCGCTACGCGCCAGCGGAAAGAAACAAACCAGGTTTAAGAGGAACCTAGTTTATCTGGCTGGGTGCTCGCTTGCAGTCATTCTATCTTTTAAGGGAGCGCTTTGAACCCCCAACCGTGTTCGCATGCATGCTTGTGCATGTCTTCCTAGATTAAAGGGTCCCACAAATATGTGAACAATTCCAGGGCATCGCAATTTAACGCAACCCTATTCAGCTACATTGAAGATGGGGAAATTCCCCCAAAACGATAAGAACGAAAATTGTGTTTTTTTAAAAAATTAAAGCTTGCCTGATTCTCAGCGACTAGACAAAGCCAGGTAGGTTTTTTTGGCAAGGTTTTTTTTTTGAACTGGTTTGCCATTGCCTCCTTCCCAGGGCTCAGAAAAAGTGTGTGGCTCAGTTTTTAAGGCTTTGTGCCTAAAACAGGACTAGAACTCACAGTCTCCTGATTTCTGGTGCTTTAACCATGTCACCAAAGTAACCAGATGAGATGCATTTATGGATAAAAGAAAGAAAGAAAATACTTCTCCATTATTTATGTTCCTCAACCTAGCAACTTTAAGATGCGTGGACTTCAACTCCCAGATTTCCCCATACTGGGGAATTCTGGGAGTTGAAGTCTACACATCTTAAAAGTTGTTGAGGAACACGGATTCATAGCACCAAGGAAAGCAACTCTACTTGCTTGTCAACACACATTATAAATATAAATATGCATATACATTGCACAATTGATTGTGAGGCGAGAACTCCACCTCTAGGCCGCCGCACCACTTCAGCGACTTCCACACATATTTGTTTTAAAGTCCGAGTTTGATCCCAATAATTTGATCTCCGTGAACCAAAAGAAGCCGATGTTGATTATTTGTGGGGGGTTTTGCAAACTTCGGGGGCAAAATTGCCCAATTAATGGAGTCGCAGAAACCACCTTATCATTGTCACCTCGACAACCCAAAGACGCAAAAACCGTTTTCCCCTTCTCCAAGGGGGGTATGCCAGCTTGGCCCAGCCAAGAGTTGCAACTGTTGCGTTACAAAAATCAATGTTCCCGTCCCGCCAGCGAAGAATCTGACTCCTTTTCCGTCCTAACGGTGCGAAACCCTCTAGCGATAAAGGCCTCAGTCCGACGGAAAGCTCTCCATCATCATTCCTGCTTCTTTTCCACCTTCTTGGGACCACAGGGTCGGATGAATCCCAGATTTTTCCACACTTCCGTGTACAACAACATCCCCACGAAGACCAAGAAGGTGCCCAGCCAATGCCAGACGGTGAAGGAGTTCTGGAAGTAGAGGATGGAGAAGATCAGGCTGACGAACTTCCGCAGCGTCACGACCAGCGTGACGGTTAAGGAGGTGCACTCGGTGGTCAAGATGAAGACCCCCCGGATGCAGATGTATCTGAGAAAAGAGCGGAGTTAAGGGAAAGGAGGGGGAAGAAAAAAGGAGAAGATCGGAGAAGATGTGAAGACGGCGTCCTTCCATCTGGGAATGCCAACAGGAAGTCCTACCTGGCTTGTGGTCACTTCTCCAAATGAAAACCTCTTCTGGAAAGTTTCTGCAGCTTCTTTGATGTGGCACCAACTGGATAGTCAATTTATTTAAAATATCTATATACCTGCCCATCTTATAATCAACTCTGGGTGGCCCCCAATCCAAAGTACTGTATTTTTCAGAGTATAAGACACACCTTAGTTTTGGGGAGGAAAATAAGAAAAAAGCTGATTGGCAGGTGGATCGGCCTCCCCGAAATCCCCCAATCAGCTGTTCCCAATCAGGTGAATTTTAGCAACAGGTTCTTTGGTTGTGAGCCCTGTGCCTTGCTTTTTTTTCAGCCTCTGAAACTTCTGAAACTCCGTTTCAGAAAAAAGCTTTTTTTCCTGCCTCTGAAAGCCTCCGAAACAGCTTCAGAAAAAAAGCCTCTGAAGCTCTGTTTGGAGGCTTCTTTTCTGAAGCTCTGTTTGGAGGCTTTTTTTCTGAAGTTTTGTTTCTGATGCTTTTTTCAGCCTCTGAAACCTCCGTTTGAGAAGCTGGATGGGGCTATATTCGGAGTATAAGACGCACCCAGATTTTCACCCTCTTTTTTTGGGGGGGGGAAAGGTGTGTTATACACCGAAAAATACGGTAAAAACCATAATAAAACCATTAAAAATGCAATAAAGCTAAGAGCATGAAAAGCAACAAAAAATCTATATTGGGGGAAAAAAGCTTTACGGAAGGCTAAAAGGGTGGGGTCAGCTGAATTTCAGGGGGTGCCTCATAGGGCAGGGGGCTCCCTAATCTCTTCAGATGGCAATATTTAGGGGAAGGGACAAGGACAAGGACCGTGTCTCCAAACTATCTTTAGGAGATGGAATGACAGAATCTGGTGGGGGGAGTGAAAAGAGGAATCAGCCTAGAATCCCTACATAGCCACAAGCCAAATAAATCCAATCCTCTTTGAGAGCCATCAATCCTTATCTAACTCTAACCAGCTGCTGACCTTAGTTGAGAAGATTCCTGTTCCCAGCCTAGCACGGATGGAGTCTTACCTAGTTGGGTCAGGAAACATCTGCAAGAAAGCAACTGTTGTGGCTCCGTTGCCTGAGCCTGGGCTATCGACAGATGCAGACTCTGAGAGTGAGGGAAAGGAGTTGGCAAGGCCTCCCTCTCCAGGACCCTCCTCTCTGGCAATGCCTCCAGAGGACACCGAAGGCCAAGAGATAGGCCCAGAGCCAAGCACGTCCCCGCAGCCACAGGTGGACAGCGACAAAGGAGATAAATGCTGGCTGGATCCTCGACAGCGGCACAGGGAGAAGCGTGCGCAGCAGAGGGGAAGGCGTGCCAGAGATTAGCTGAGTCACTGGACCACACCCCACAGGGTATAAATGTGGGTGTGGTGGCCGGTTCAGTTTGTGACGAGCAAAAACTACAAATAATCCATGATCTCTGCGTTACTGGACTTCTGCCTGCCTTGTCGGACTGCATTTGGACTAATCCTTGTATTGCGGAAACTTTGCCTGCTTTATCGGAATGCTGGCAGTCTAATCTTTGTTTTGTGTGAGTAAAGTCTGAATTGGCAGCTAGCCACTGGGTTGCTGCCAGCTTTATCTTCAAAGACTTTGTCGTGTGGCTTATTAACTCTGGGCCGTCTGTGGGGATGCGTGTGTGGGACGGGGACAGAACAGCAACCAAGTTCAAAGACCCCCCCAGAGAAAGGAACAAATCATTCAAATGAAAACCTTAACCAGACCATCTTCTTTTAACGACCCCATAATCCCTTGCGGGGTAGAGTCTGGGCAACTGAATGGAGCTAGCAGAGTGGTTTAATGACCGGATGCCCTTCCTGTTGCCAATGAAGAGTTTTGTTCGGCAGATATATTCCCATTGTGCCCAGAGAGAGAGAGAGAGAGAAATATCTGCCTCTACCTAGGATCGAACTCACGGCCTCCTGATTGTGAGGCGAGAACTCCACCTCTAGGCCACCGTACCACTCCAAAACCTTAACAAGATGCAGGACTCTAACAATCTCTGGCTTCCCTCTGTCATAGGGAAGCCAGGAATGTTGGCTGAGCCTCAATTTCACCGTTACTGTCTACACCGTTACTGTCTTCCCAAAAAAAGGATACTGAGTTATGACGTTCATCATGAGATACAACCACATGATGGGTAGGCTGATCCCAATCAACGGCATTTGGACCAGTCCTGTGGAGAAGAGAAGATGGTGAGCTGCGACCCTTTAAAGAACATGTAACATGCTAAGCCAGGGGTCTCCAACCTTGGCAACTTGAAGACTTGTGGACTTCAACTCCCAGCGCTGCTGGCTGAGGAACTCTGGGAGTTGAAGTCCACAAGTCTTCAAGTTGCCAAGGTTGGAGACCCCTGTGCTAAGCAACTGGTCTTAAGTTGAGTAACTCCACTCCGTCCTGCAGAGGACAACTCAACAACTACCAGAATCCTCCTAATTTTAAGCGGGGGGCCTGCCATATTTCGGTTTCAAATGAAAAATCAGCTCTCCGTTATCAACTCACTGGTTTGACTGAAGAGAAGTCCATGCCTGTAAATATCCGGAGCCAGGAAAAGAAATCCCGGAAGAGGAAGAGCGTGCTAGGAGGAAAAAAAATAAAACAACAGTTTTGGAACAGAACCGGCAAAATTAAGTTTGCACCACAATCCCCGTCACGCCTGCAGATTCAGGAGCATAGTAGAAGAGTTGAAGCATACCCTCTTAAAGCATGCTGGCTCAGGAATTCTGGGAATTGAAGTACACCTATTTTAAAGCATATTAACTGGGGAATTCTGGGAGTTGAAGTCTAGCTCTCTTAAAGGATGCTGGCTGGGGAATTCTGGGAGTTGAAGTCCATCCATCTTAAAGCATGCTGACTGGGGAATTCTGGGAATTGAAGTACACCTATTTTAAAGCATGCTGGCTCAGGAATTCTGGGAACTGAAGTCCGCCTATTTTAAAGCATACTGACTGGGGAATTCTGGGAACTGAAGTCCGCCTATTTTAAAGCATACTGACTGGGGAATTCTGGTAATTGACGTCCTCCAATCTTAAAGCATGCTGGTTCAGGAATTCTGGGAATTGAAGTCTGCCTATTTTAAAGCATGCTGGCTGAGGAATTCTGGGAATTGAAGTCCGCCCATCTTAAAGCATGCTGGTTGGGGAATTCTACAGTAACCTGACATTTGGGGGAAACCCCTTAACTCCTGCAAATTGAAACCAGATAAAACAGACTGGGGAAACACATACATTGTAGAAGAGGGCTTCCTTGGAGTGTTTTCCAAACTTCTTATAGATGGTTTCTTGGAAGATCCCCATCAGGGCTGACATGAGGAGGGCAAAGGTCAAGGCTGCGATTCCTAAAACATAATGTTGATATTGAGACCAGCATTCTGGATCTGCCCTTCAGCAGAAATCCCAAGACTGAGTGAGCACCCAGGATCTAAAAAACTATTTAACTAAAATGAGATTTCCTCAAGCTCAGGTTTGACTCCGTGAATACGTCCACCTAGGTTTCTTGGCAACGATACAGATGTGGCTTGAAACTGCCTTATTCCAGGGTATGTTTCAACTTCCCAATTTACTTCATCTTAGCTTGTAGGGAACTAAACAAGGTTGCTTAAAGGTTGTCACCCAGCAAAAACGAACTTAAGAGACTGAGGGATATATAGCCTTGAAGTTCTACACAGTGTCAGGTTTCGATGCTATCTCAAAATAAATGAATTTCCAAACTGCCGATCTTTGAGGAAATTTTCTCTTTATTGAGCATAGTGATCTGATCCTGGCTCTTTTGCGGTCAGTACTGACCTTTGCCCCCCAATCCCTCCCTTTCCGATCCCCAATTCTCTGCATCTCCTGCATCTTCCAAGCCACTTTCCTCATCCCATCTCCGTCAGATCACAGGAATGTCCCCCCCTCCTCCCATCTCGGAGGAGACAGAATCTTCAAAGGAATTAAGTAGGCAAAAGTTCAAGCTTCTCCTCTCCTTATATATGTCAGTGCTGGGACGCTGACACACAGCATGAAAATGTATTAATATAAAATTGTAGCTCAGGGGTTGAACTGTGGGGTCCTTGGTGCTCTCTGAGCTTGGTGGATTTTTTACAGACGTTTCATGACCCAACAAGGTAACATCATCAGTGCTAGAAGGGAGTGGGGTTTGTGGAGGAAGAAGAAGAGGATTGTGGGGTCCTTGGGGGCTCATTGAGCTTGGTTGTTTTCTTGCAGACGTTTCATGACCCAACTAAGTAACATCATCCGTGCTAGAAGGGAAGGATTTTGTTCTGTTTATAAACGAGTGGTTTGCCCAGTCAGTGTTGGTGGGTCTCAACTGGGAAACTATGAGCATCCTAGACCAACATTGCTGGAGAATTGCTGGAAGCCTGGCACGCTGACAAAACAGCCATCAACGGGCCAAGAGAGATAAGTAACATCTACATGCCATTCAAAAGAGAGCATCAAAAAGCTAAAAAGGAAAAAAAAAAGACCAAAGCACCTCCCCACCAACAATCCACACCCTGATCAGCAAATATTAACACCAAGATTAACACTAAACCAACAACCAAGCCTTAAACGACACCCCGATCAAGGAACTACCAATTAAGACAAAGAAGCTAATAATAAACAACAGCCTAATCAAGGAACCAACAAGAACACTCCCAGCAACACTGACAGGGCAAGCTGCTTGTGTATAAACAAACAGCAAACCCACTCCCTTCTAGCACTGATGATGTTACCTAGTTGGGTCATGAAACGTCAGCAAGCAAACACCTAAGCTCAGAGAGCACCAAGGATCCCCACAGTCATTCCTCCTCCTCCTCCTCCTCTTCCTCTTCCTCCTCCTCCTCCTCTCCATAAATCCCCCCTGCTCTTCTAACACTGATGATGTTACCTACTTGGGTCATGAAACATCCACAAGCAAACACCTAAGCTCAAAGAGCACCAAGGATCCCCAGTCATTCCTCCTCCTCCTCCTCTCCATAAATCCCCTCCCTCTTCTAACACTGATGATGTTACCTAGTTGGGTCATAAAACATCCACAAGCAAACACCTAAACTCAGAGAACACCAAGGATCCCCACAGTCCTTTTCCTCCTCCTCTTCCTCCTCTCCACAAATCCTGCCCCCTTCTAGCACTGATGATGTTACCTAGTTGGGTGATAAAATGTCTGCAAGAAACTCACCAATCTCAAAAAGCATCGAGGAAACACATGAAAGAATATTCTTGGCCCTGTATAAAAAGGGCCCTGTATTGTCTGTGCACAGCTCGTAAAGGCCGGCATTAATACCGCCAACACCCCACTTCCCCTTCTTATGGAGTGAGTAATTTCCGTAGGTTTTTTTCCTATCAACTGAGTGAACACACCCAAGGTTCAATGATCCAGCTGAGCTTGGCAAAGGCCCGGCAGGGAAAGGGTTCGGGTGGCAAGATAGAAAGGATTTTTGCTGCTGTGATTAATGAACCTGTTGCCTCTGTTGTGTAGGTGGAAGGAGCAACCACATCACAACTTCAATCAGGGCAGAACAAAGTACAACAAAAAACCTGCTGGCAACCGAACAAAGAGGAGAAGGCCAGGCCACAAATGACATCTGATTTAATATGTTTAAGTTTAAATGAAGCAGATGTCAGCACTTCAACCTGCATTTACTCTAGTGCTGACATAAGAAGGAGAAGAGGGGGAAGCTGGCAAGAGGACGCTTGACATTTCACCTACTTATTTTCCTTGAAGATAATATCCCCTAGGAGATGAGAGGAAGGGGGACATTCCTGGGAGCTTAAGTAGTAGATATGGGGAGAGTGATTTGGAAGAAGGCCAATGAGACGCAGAGATTTGCGGAACGGAAAGGGAAGGTTTGGGGTCAGGAAGTCAGAGTTGGCTATGCCACGATCGGGGACAGATTGTCGTGCTCAATAAAATGAAAGATTTCTTCAAAGACTATTTGTTTGGAAATGCAATTTATTTTATTTGAGACGATATCAAAACCTGACAGCAGATGCAATTCAAAGATTACACCAATTCTTATTACTATTTTAGAATCGCCCTTCCCCTCCCGCCATACTAGAAAATTAAATGGTTCAATTGATAGAGTTTGGTTGGGAAACCAGATTCTGTTTTGTGCCCCTTCGGCTCAGAAGAGGGTTGACCATGGGGAGCAATTACTGACCTAGAAGCCACCAGAGAAATGCAGAGATGCTCTCCTTGTCTTCACTCGCACCCGACACAGAGCTCTACAAGGGAGGGAAGGAGGGAGGGAAGAGAAGAGAGCAGAATGGATGGATTGATGGAAGAAAAGGGGGGGCTAGTTGGGTCATAAAACATCCACAAGCAAACACCTAAACTCAGAGAACACCAAGGATCCCCACAGTCCTTTTCCTCCTCCTCTTCCTCCTCTCCACAAATCCTGCCCCCTTCTAGCACTGATGATGTTACCTAGTTGGGTGATAAAATGTCTGCAAGAAACTCACCAATCTCAAAAAGCATCGAGGAAACACATGAAAGAATATTCTTGGCCCTGTATAAAAAGGGCCCTGTATTGTCTGTGCACAGCTCGTAAAGGCCGGCATTAATACCGCCAACACCCCACTTCCCCTTCTTATGGAGTGAGTAATTTCCGTAGGTTTTTTTCCTATCAACTGAGTGAACACACCCAAGGTTCAATGATCCAGCTGAGCTTGGCAAAGGCCCGGCAGGGAAAGGGTTCGGGTGGCAAGATAGAAAGGATTTTTGCTGCTGTGATTAATGAACCTGTTGCCTCTGTTGTGTAGGTGGAAGGAGCAACCACATCACAACTTCAATCAGGGCAGAACAAAGTACAACAAAAAACCTGCTGGCAACCGAACAAAGAGGAGAAGGCCAGGCCACAAATGACATCTGATTTAATATGTTTAAGTTTAAATGAAGCAGATGTCAGCACTTCAACCTGCATTTACTCTAGTGCTGACATAAGAAGGAGAAGAGGGGGAAGCTGGCAAGAGGACGCTTGACATTTCACCTACTTATTTTCCTTGAAGATAATATCCCCTAGGAGATGAGAGGAAGGGGGACATTCCTGGGAGCTTAAGTAGTAGATATGGGAGAGTGATTTGGAAGAAGGCCAATGAGACGCAGAGATTTGCGGAACGGAAAGGGAAGGTTTGGGGTCAGGAAGTCAGAGTTGGCTATGCCACGATCGGGGACAGATTGTCGTGCTCAATAAAATGAAAGATTTCTTCAAAGACTATTTGTTTGGAAATGCAATTTATTTTATTTGAGACGATATCAAAACCTGACAGCAGATGCAATTCAAAGATTACACCAATTCTTATTACTATTTTAGAATCGCCCTTCCCCTCCCGCCATACTAGAAAATTAAATGGTTCAATTGATAGAGTTTGGTTGGGAAACCAGATTCTGTTTTGTGCCCCTTCGGCTCAGAAGAGGGTTGACCATGGGGAGCAATTACTGACCTAGAAGCCACCAGAGAAATGCAGAGATGCTCTCCTTGTCTTCACTCGCACCCGACACAGAGCTCTACAAGGGAGGGAAGGAGGGGGGAAGAGAAGAGAGCAGAATGGATGGATTGATGGAAGAAAAGGGGGGAGGGAGGGAGGGGGGAGGGAGGGAGGGAGGGAGAAAGGAAGGAAGGAAGGAAGGAAGGAAGGAAGGAAGGAAGGAAGGAAGGAAGGAAGGAAGGAAGGAAGGAAGGAAAAGAGAATGATGGATGGATCAAAAGAAGGAAGGAAGGAGAAAAAGAGAGAGAGAAAGGAAGGAAGATGGAAGGAAGGAGAAGAGAGAATGATGGATGGATCAAAAGAAGGAAGAAAGGAAGGAGAAAGAGAGAGGAAGGAAGGGCAAAAGAGAAGAATGGATGGATTGATAGAAGAAAAGGGAGGGAGGGAGGGAGGAAGGAGAAGAGAGAATGAGGGATCAAAAGAAAGAAGAAAGGGAG